AAAGATTTTTTGTGCCTCTCATAAACACACATGAGAAGAACCTGCATTTTATGGCACTCTACTTGTATCAAGGCCACTTGAAAGGGAATGTAGACTTTGTCCAGTTGACCCCCTTTTACTGATCCACCCCCTTATACACACATGGGTTAGGCCCACATTGATTGAACAGTGTTGATTTATGCTGGGGCCATTTTGAAAGCACTATGAGCTGAAGTAAATGTGTCCTCTCTGTATCATTCTTAGAGAGGAGTCTAAGATTAACTCCCTTTGGCAGCCATATCTGCACAGAGCTGGCACACACACACACTGACTGACACACACTTCTGAGTGCCAGCCCAAAGCCATCTGCACCGGCACTGCCTGTCTGACTAACACATCTAACTCCCTGTGCACACTGTACAGATGGGCCATGTGTGTGTATGTGTGTGAAAAAGGCCCTGCCCTTGACCTAACCACCATCTCTCCCACACTGAGCTTCATCACCGCAGGAGGAGCAGGATGACCCCCTTTTTAAATAAGCTGTCAGGGAGGCAGACAGCATGAAGGCGGAAAGCCTTGTGAGCAGGTGAAGAGGCTCTCCGAGTGCACACTGGTGTCCGCCATGTAGTGTCTAGGATGACGAACGTGTAAAACATGCACTATAGAGCAGCACCGCAGAGTCAGGGTTGGATCCACTTCAGAGCACTGCCTGTTCCTGATACGAGCCTCCAGACATAAATAAAAAAACACAGCATGGGCAGGAGCTGCTATATGTGTAGGTGGAAAAATGAGCCCATATGCCACATCGAGGGACAAGCCAGTGCAATCAGTGAGAATTTCTTATGAATGATTTCTATACTAACTCTTCCCCCATAACAGCTGGGATAGGCTCCAGCCCCCTCACAACCCTGACTCTTATTACTTCACACACACTATAAGAAATTGATCATTTTTAGGCTGTCAGACTGAAAAACACCCTTTAATATATTCTTGTTTTTTTAGATAGCACTTGGGACGACATCTGAAATGCACTGGTGTTATGTTAATGACGTAAAAAATACTTTGACAGATAATAGTGAGATTATAATTTTTGCACCGCAAGCCACCGCTGTGTATTTATTAGTTAAGATTTAATTAAAGTGCAGACTTTAATATCTATGTCAAAGGGTTGAACAAATATGTTGTATAAAAAGTTTACAAGCAGCTATATTTTCAGTGCTCATTATGACTGTTAGTGCTCCCTTGTTCTTGCAGCTGTCTCTTTGTAATTCCTTCTGCCTTTAGTTTTGTCTTCAGCAAGTTAAATATATGTTCAATCAGATCTGTTGATGTGTTTGACTCCAATTTTTTTTTTTTACCCTCAAACTGCTGGGTGTCTCTCTGTCCACTGTAAACATCTGACTGAATCTGAGCGGTCAGTATTTCCCTAAACACTTCATAATTCATTCAACGACTTCTGTGTACTGTCACATCTGTGTCTCATCTCTAAAAACAAGTGATCCACTGGCACTGAAAGCAATGCATGTTCATGCCATCACACTGTCTCCACTGTGTTTGACAGATGTTGCATGCGTCACATCATTTGGAGCCCCTCCAAATCTTCTTCTCACGTGCTGTTGAAGCGCTGGCTTGTTTGCAAAGAGCTCTCTTTATTTCCTCTTGTGAAGTCTTTAGTAGACTGATGATAATGACATGCCTTCCTTCTGAACACTGTTCTGCACTTTTCTACATGCTCTGAAGGCATTTCCTTTACAATGGAAAGGATCCTGTGAGCATCCACTACTGCTTTCTCCTGTAGGCTTGTGTGTGTTTATTTAAATTCACAAGTTCCTTCTTTTTTAATTTTTTTTTTTTTGAAATCTCAGAATCAGCTTTTGATTTGGCCACTCCAGATGTTTCCACTGTCTCTTTTTAGGAATCGTTTTGTTTTTGCAGCCTAATGATGGCCTGGTTTACTAGCATTGAGAGGTCCTTTGACCACATGTTGTGTCAAAAAGCAAATACCAAAACTTTTACTTCCTTAATTGATCCAGATATAAGAAACGATGTAAGAAAAGAACAGGATCCATCTGGGTATAAAGCAGTTCCTGAATCAAAAAATGTAGATGTATATATCTTTAAATTAAAGCTGAGAGGCTCTGCTTTAATAGCAATTACTTTAACCTTGATATCTATTGATAAACAGATAAAATAACTAAGAGTGGGTCCGTATTCACACACACACACACACACACACACCAACACACACACACACACACACACACACACACACACGCCTATATGTATGAAAACATACTAATGCCCTTCAGGTCAGCGCAGTAAGCATGGAGCTCCCTCATTAGCTTGGCCTTCCGCTGGAAAGGCTAGATTGGATCAGGTCTGTCATCTGACCCAGCCTACACACCCACAGTTCCAGCAATCGGCATCTGTTATTATTTATAAATATTCATTATTTTGTTGCTGTAAGTTGGTAATAAATGAATCCAGGAGATTCTTGCTCTCAGCCATAATCATGTATAATTTATTTCTATAGATCAAAAAGAGATCAGATGCGTTAATTAGGAATGTATAGTAGTACTGGTAGGCAGGGGTAACTTAGCTGTTCACTTTGTTCCCAGTCTTTATGTTAAGCTAATGGGCTTGGAGATACATATAGTTCAACACATTGCACGGCTCCTTTAATAATAATGAGCTCACAAATTGATTTTTCTGGTCCCCATGTCCTCCATCTTTTCTTCCCAAAAGGCAAAAGGGTTTCATTTGATGAATGAAGCTAACAGAAACAAAGCAACTGCGCTGCTGGAGGAGGATTTTCCACTACCTGGCAACTCAATCACTGTCCTTGTGAATGGCTTATAATTAATCGACCTAGCTTTAACAGGCCAAAGTGTGCAAAACAGTCAATACACTCACCAGAAAGCATGCTTTATATAAAGTATCACTGAATTATGTTGGTGTGAGAGGAGACAATGAAGCCGGATGTCACATTAAAGTAATTACTGAAAGCCACGTTTAATCTCGGAGGGTTTCGTTGTGTTTTTCTGCCACGGGACCAGAAGTGACAGGTGTCATTGACCCAGAGGATAACTTCCACAAGGTTACAACTTCCCACCAGGCTCCAACAGACCAGGAATATATATAGATATATAGTAGGTCAAATGATCCATACATACATACCTTGGCGTGAGAAGTCGGTATTCTGGTGAGCAGCAGGAATTGAAACATTCCTAGAATAACTTGTAGCATAATCCCCATTGTGCAGGAGTCCAAGGGGCACGCAAAAAATATTTTTTGGACCAATCCAAAAAAAGAAGCTGGCTTGTCCTCCTTGCGTCGCCTCCGTGTCCGAATAAAGGCGCAGATATCCCGCTTTCACTCTCCAGTCTCCCTTCCCTGAAAGGACTCCCAGGGTGGCATCATCAGGGTCGTAACAATAACTTTATTGTGTCGCATTTTAGCTCGAATGATTTAGGACTCAGTTCTCTATATGAACTCTATGACAGTTAAATCCTCTATTAGTGAGACACTGTAGACTTAAATGACCTTCCCTGCACAAACTATGGCTTTCTTATAATGTTAAATGTGGCACCAAAGCAGCCAAATCCTTATCATTTTTCCAGAAACTTGAAAGAACTTTAAAGTGATGCTTTCCTGTAGTGATTATGAGCACAGTCCGCCTCTTGGTTCGGCTCCCATGAAACCGGTCCGGGGGGTCCGGGGTGGCGTTACTGGGGGATTACACAGGCTACAGATTCCCGCTTAAACGTGGTGCGATCATCAAATCCTGTGTGTCTGAAGAAAGAAATCGCATCATCCAGCTATAGGACGTTAATCCGGAAAAGATCCGACGCCCTGGCCCGACGCGCGGAGGGTATGTGCCGCATATTCCTCTCCCCGGCTCGGTCACAGTCTCACCACACCGTCGCTCCTACTGAAAATGTGACGTTTCCCCTCCAGGCGCATCTTCCCGTTTTTCCCCCCACTCCCCTTATAAATAAACCTAGAATAACATCCTCGGCTGCTGTGGCAGACAGCGTGACTACAGCAGAGCAGTCAGAGCGAAGATACAGGCAGGTCTGGAAAGGTAGACCTTCATTTGTTGCTGTGATCGGTTTCCTCGCTTCTGTTTGCCCTTGAGACGCACGCAGCGTAACCATTGCGCTGCCAACTTTTTCCAGACAGGATAGGCGCACTGCACACAGGTGGAGTGTCTCTATTGGTCCCACAGCGGGGGTCAGGGGGCCTCCAGGGGCCTCTTGTAAGTGGGGAGTATGATTGAGGACACCAAGGTCGTGTCAGTGGCAGGGGACATATTTTAGTATTTACATGTGAATATGGAGGCTAAACAATAAGGGGATTACATTTTTAGAAAATGGTGATTGTTGTGCGCATCAGTTGAGGCATTTTTCTTTTAAAGGGGGCCAGCTGTCCACTGGCTTTCTTACTTATCCATAAGAAAGACTGTGATTTAAAGATGCCATCTTATAACATGTAGTCCTATGAGAGTATACTTAAAACAGATTACGTTTTGCCAAAGAAGAAGTGTTTAATCACCAAACTTTGATTCCTGAGAGTGTTTTTGACTTGTGAACACCTTGTCCTTGCTAGGAAATACATCATGGTGACACAGTAATATCTAAATTCTTTATAACTTTTCTATTCAATGAATAACTTCCTTAAAATTACACTTTAGTGAAATGTTGTATTTAATCAAAGTAATGCCAATGATTTAAGAGTTCAGCTGGTGCACACTTATCTGCAATCCAACACATACTGAGAGCAACGAGCTGATGATTGATAAACATTTTCTTCAGTTTAATCATAGAAGTTATTTACAAGGAATTTCTCAACAAGCCAACATGACCAAAGGCTGTAATGCACAGTGACCCTGCTTGTAAACACAGACTGACACGTCGCGGTAGGAATGCAGCTTAGGTGTTACTAATAACGCTGACGAATGATTTGTTCTGTTCTCTTCAAATGTTCCACTGTGTCTTGACAGTAAAGCAGGTAAATCAAAGTCAGCCATTATTCACTTTATTATTTACATATTTGCTGTCCATCCACTGTGAGAAGAAAATGACAAGGGGCATTTTTCAAATAAAAAGAGCCCAAAACAAAGTGTCAAGTATAACTGATAAACTGTGGAAAGGTCTTGGGCAACACTTCATATATTTATATTTTTTTGAGGAAATGGTAAAAAGGTGCAGTGATTTATGGAAACATCTACAAACATACATGGAAATACAGTATATAAGACAAAAACAGAGTTTGTATAATTCTAACAAGCTTGAAAGTCAATATTTGGTTTGACCACCTTTATGCAGCCTTAACCTGAAGGCAACATTTCATGAAGTCATCTTCAGGAACGGTTCTCCAGACTTATTGAAGGACATTCAGTGCTCTGCTTTGAACCGTTGGCTGTCTGTTGCTCTGTTCTCTGTTAAGATGATCCCACACTGCTTCAATAATGTTGAGGTCTGGGCTCTGGAGAGGCCGCTCCATCACTGTTAGTGTTCCAGTTACTGTTTTTCTATCCAGGTGTGCTTTCACTGCACTGGCAGTGGGTTTGGAATTATTTCATGCTGAAAAATGAAGCAGCTGCCAATCAGATCCCTTCCAGTTGGTATTGCATCATGGGTCAACATTGGACAATGCTGTTCTCTATTCATAATTCCATTAATTTTGACAACATCCCAAACACCACTGACTGAAATGGGGCCCTGAACCATGACAGAGCCTCCACCGTGTTTCACAAGATGGCTGTAGGCCATCACTGCTGTACCTCTCTCCTGACTTCCTCCACACATCCTGACAATGATTGGGTTAAAACAGAAATTTCAAATTATTTATTCATCTCTTCTTCAGACTTGTTTCCCCTGATTTTCTGGCCAGTTCTGTGTAATTTCTCATACCTCAACATTTATCACCGTTTCCTTTCCTTAAGAATAGTTTCCCGACAGATACACTTTCACCGAGAACATTTCTGATGAGCTTTCAGTGAACAGCAGAGGGATCAACTTCTTTAGTCCTCCACTTTTGCAGCTTTCCCAGATTGTTTAAGGACACACTGCACAACATGACAAGATTTGCCATATTTTGAGTTAATAGCTTTTTGGGAATCACGATGTCGGTGCAAAATACTTTTCTTTGTCGTTGTCTCTTACATGTACACACAACAGTGATTCATCCCTCAAGTTAGGTGCTTTATGCTTGACTCATAGGTCAGTGTTATGAATCTTAACAAAAAACAAAATGTTTCTCTGAAAAAAGTCAGGCACAAAGACTGAACTGAAAATCATTGAAAAATCAGTCAAAGACAAAGTTTGAAAGACCTTCAGAAAGAAACTACCTGCTTGGAAGCAAAATATATATATATTTAAAAAAAAAAAAAGCTGCTAGTGACTTTTGCACAGTAGTAGAGTTTACTGATAATTAAAATCATAAAAACAATTTTGATTCCCGAAGGTGGATCATTGTGGTTTGGGAGCAGTTTTATGATCTTTTTAATGCCCAAGGAGGGAAATTAAGGATTTCAGCCCCTCCCATCCAACTAATCAATAAAAAATAATCTCCAAAGAGCATGTCACGCTTTTATTTCAGAGCATGATTCTACACAGTTTCTCTTTGCAGCTCATTAAACTAAAGATAAAAGTCAATTAAAACTGCATCCAGAGCTGTTTTCTTCTCTAGCAGGAAAACTCTTGAGCCTCATCTCCTATCAGTGTGTGTGTGAAGGCATGCTGACACGAGGATCTCAGTCATTATGGCGTGTTTGGGTTATGACAGGGTACTCACACGCCACATGAGGGTGAGGGTGTCTGAGAGCTATGCGGGGACACAGTATGTTATCTCCTGCTGACGTCTCAGGGCAGGGGCCGCTGGTGACAAGAAAACAGAGAGGGAAAAGGGGCGATATCCTTTCTTAAAAAACAAACTTCACGCTGTAGATGCAGGGTTTTACACACCCACACAATTCCTTCCAAAATAAAAAGAAAGAAAGAAGGAAAGAATCCAAGCCTTGACTTCATAATGGGTGTCGCCTTTCCTGGATGATCACTGGAAATTTTCTTGTTTGTAAAAGCAAACATGCAAATAAACATAACTGCGTTGCTGTCTTCAAAGTTAAAAATGTATGATTCACTTTCACCGACGTGATGGAAAACAAAGATCTGAGATAATTATCTATTTGAATCATTACCGATTCTTCTCTGCTGCTCGTTAAAAGGTAACAGGAAACAAATGACACTATGGGAAGAAATGGTAATAAGCAAGACATTAAATAACAAGAAGCATGTAGAAGTAAAGTGAAATCAAGCAAAGGATGGTTAATGAGATCTTTTAAAGCTTTCTCTCAGATGTCCCAAGAGGGACTCAACAAGGCAGCAAAAACATAAAACAATATAATATATAAAGACTGAGAGGCCAAAATGGTAAATGTTGGCTCACTTTGTGTGTGTGATCGTTCCTTTAAATGCATTTCTCCATAATATTACAACAGTTTGCAATAAATAACTTACTCAGTGGCACTTTTTTCTCCAGATTTTCTGTGTCAAACAAATCGATATTTGTTGGCAGGAAGTGCAGAAAGTCCAAAAATCAAACACTTGTGAATATATATCAGGTGTGAACCAATTTAAACAGCAGCGTCCACACTTGAGCGCTGAAAGACATTTTCTTTTAAAACAACATGAAACATTGCTGCAAATAAGAGTCTCTCTCTTCACAACTTGATCAGCTGTCATGTTGTATTATTCACCGTCACATGTGAGTTCCAGATGCTGCACAGCTGTAACAGAAATGAGGCTGAGAACAATAAACAGCAAACAGCGTGTTCCTGAGACTCCATTAGGGGCAGTTTGATAGAGCTCATTATGGCTCCTGTGGACAAACCGTGAACAAGTTTGGGAACAAACGAGCCCCATAAAATATAAAAGCTTATCCTGGTCAACATCTATGACCAGAGGAACCCTCCCCCTAAACCACACCCACTCCCTGCAGATTTCAGGATCACATCTGAGGGCAGAAAGAGGCGTGGAAACACGTTTAAAAAGGTCAGAAAATAAATAATCTTAAAACACAACAGCCAGCTTGGTCCGCCTGCTGGCATCACCGAGCACAGCTGAAGGATCTGCTACTTGTCGTCTCCAACGTCGGTGCGTTTGTATTTCTCCTTAAACTCCGCGTGCTTCTGACGCAGGATTTCCGTTTGCTTCTTAAAACCATTGACCCTGAAAAACCACAAATGAAACAGCATCAGAACAACAACATCAGAGAGAAGCAGGGGGAAAAAGGAATCTGAAGCTCAGTGCACACACCTCGCCCTCTCTTTGGCTTCATTGTAAATTTCTATGATGATTCGGTCTTTCTCATCCATGAAGTTAGTGTGAACTTCTTCCAGTTTCCTGAAAGCATCAGAGGGAGGTAGACAATTCCCTTTTAGAGAGCTTAACCTAAGAACTCAGCAGCGCTCTTTATTTATGGGTTTGTACAGCTGTTAGAGGAGCTGCTCACATCACAAAGAAGTGAATCTCAACAAACACATGTGGCACCACGTCAGTGTGTGAAAGCAAACTCAAGGCCGCGAGTTGGGAGGTTGTGCCAACACACATGGCACTGAGACACGTCCGCAACATTCCTCATTCATCTGGATGTGAATGAGCAGCAAATAAAAGGACACAGTGTGGACAACGAAGGACAGGATGTGAGCAAGAGGAAGTTTACCAAATGCACACTTCTTTCTAATATTTACAGTTTAAATTTAAATACAAAATGCTGAATGCTCAGTCGGTATCGTGTGTGGGGTTTTTACTTGAAGAGGACGGCATGGGCTCCTATGCTGAGCATCATAGCGACGACACAATACGCCACCAGGCGGAAGTTCCTCTTCCTCCTCTTCTGCTTCTCCTCGGCCATCATCTCTGGAGTGTGAGGGTGATGAACCTGCTCCCAGTAACGGATGTTCTCATAGGCATCCATGCTGATAGGAAAGGCATGAGAAGATTGAGCGTTGTTTCTGATGTCACTAGTCAATGTAATAAGCACTTGTTGTAATAACTAAGGTTGCTCATTTGATTTGCAGTTACACAAATCGTGTCTGAACTTCAAGAAACATTAAATGAAAATGACAAGTGATAGTCATAGTCTGTATATAAAGGATGGAGCTTCCAGAAGCTCCAGGACTGCAAAGTAAATCCAAAGCAGATTAATTTTTTTATGTCCACCAGGAGGGGATTCCTCTAGCTTCAAAAAGTCCAGATGTATAGACGTTTATGAGCAAATGACCCTACTGATCTCTCACTCGCTGACCTCAGTAAACAATTTCCTAATGAGTTTATGAGCTCAATCTCAAGTTCAAATTCTTGAATACAACACAAAGTTCATTGTCTAAAATACTGGATGCTGTGAAGATGATTTCTCAACCATGGAAATAATTCTGCAATTTATTTGTCTTCTGTGGTCAGTGGACTCATTCGTTTCATAAATGTAACAGATTGTTGATTTGGCCACTGCTAAAGTTTTTCCTTTCTTGCAGAGCTGTTTATTTCGTTTAACTAGCAACACAAGTTTATTTTTTACATCACGGTCTCCTTGGACCTCATAAAGAGAATTCCAGTGACCAGGTACTAAACATAATCTCAACACTGCAAATCTTTTATGTGCTTATTTAGTCCCTGAATAACAGGAGAAAAGGCCTCAGTCCCCCGAAACTGTGGGACTGTGGATAGAAATGTCTGTAATTCAAGTGTGACACAAGTGTAGTTGTAAGACATGCTTTTTTATGGCATTAAATATCGGGGCAATTGAAAGTAAATTCCATGTTGCAAAAGTTGTGAATCAGTTGGCGTATATGATTTAAACATTGTCGTCCCCATTTTTTGTGCCTTGAGAAAGGAACTCCCAGAAATAGATATGCAACAGCGTCAGTCACAAATTCTGTGTTTCTTTTCTAAATCTGTCCCTTGGTGCTTTAAGATGACCGCTGCTCTGGCCTGACATTATATAAAAAAAGGTGAATTTTTCAGATGTGCACTTCAACCTTTTCAGACATTGCCCGTCAGAGCTGTACATGAGAACATCAATGACGGTATCAGCTGTATCTGACATTAAACAGTCTTTACCCTGCATGCTCCTCAGTATAGTCTGTGTGACATCCTGTTGAGCCCATGAAAGAGAATTAATTGAACACATCTGATGCTGACAATCTCCTGTTTTACTGTTATACATGTTAGAAACAACGAAGCCCCAAACACTGGGGTTCCTGTGTGAAATTTGCTGCTTTTAAAGATGACACACTGTTAATGTAAAGTTCATAAGCAGTAACACACTAATGGATGTGGGTGAATCCTCACCTGCCTCTGTAGCTGGGGTCAGTGGAGGCAGATCTGAAGACTTGAGCACCACCATACGGCTGTCGTATTTTGAAGTCGTACTCCTTCCTACTCAGATCTTTGCTCAGCACCCTGTAGGCCTCGTTCAGCTGCACAAACTGGCTGTGCAGTGCCGGGTTTGACGGGTCGCTGTCTGGATGTAGCTGCACAATAAAGGGGACAGAGTCAGCAGCAAATTCTCCTCATGAAGCATGAAAAAAGAAAAGATCTGGTGCAGGTCAAATATGCAACCATTAACAACCGAAAAATGTTCTTACTTTTTATGACAAATAGATTTTTGTTTTGCACTTTGAACCAAGCTTCTTTCTCACCCTTTAATGAGGCCAAAGCCACAAAGTAAACACACATACCCATCCTTATTTAAACTGGGAGCCATAGCTTGAAAACAAACAGTGAGGAAGCCCACTGTGGGAACAGTTAGCAAGCACAAAATGTGCTGTGCAAGGCTGCCCTCGTGTGGCCACATGTTTTATTTAAATCCAAATGGGAATGATACCTTTTTGGATTTGTCAAAAAACGCATTTTTGATTTCTTCTAACGTGGCATCAGATTTGACTCCCAGGAGGTCGTAGTAGGTCGCAGCTTTTCTGCGGTGAGAAAGCAAAGAACTCAAAACCAAGCAGGCACTCAGACCTGTTTAAACACAGAGTACACAAACACAATCATCAAGGTGTTCTCAGCAACTCTGCCTAAAACCTAAAGGCACACATTCACTTTGTCTACCTTTGCGTATAGCTTTGGGAGAACAGCCGCAGTCCACTCTTGCAACACCAAAAACAACTCTGGCACAGACGTAGCTGAGCCTCCAACAGCATGATGGAAATTTTTGGCGGTTCCACACAAGGACCTGAGCAGAGAGGACAGATGAAACAATGCAAAGACCCAAAGCCAAGGCACTAAGTACTAAGTGGGCGGGCTCCAGATACTGAATTTAAATATGTTAAAGTTATAAATGTCTAATTATCAAAAGGAAATAATGCTGGGAAGAAGCTTCTAAGGGACAACGTTTTAACAGTTGTGTAAAAGTAACATCAAAAATCAGCATTTTATTAATTAAAAGTGAATAAATAACTGAAACAAATCCAGAATATCACCGTTATGTGTATCTACAGCAGTTTCCAGGAAGCAACAGAATCAATTTTTTATTATTATAAATCTTGACCTGGAACTGCCTCTGAAGCTATTACTGATATGATATATTAGTAATAAAACATTGATACTAGTGATACTAGAAGGAAAACAAACAAGGAGAAGTAGATTTGAGTCATTATGTAGCCCAGCACCGGAAGCAAATTTGAAATTGTATTGTACTGTATTGTTCCCCAGAGAAAACTCTACTTTTTATTATCGTCAACATTTTTATTCATATTCATTCTTCACAATCATCATCATATTTTTTAATACATATATATATATATAGATCTATTTATTTTTGTTAAGTTTAACAAAAACATTGCCTCACCTTCAATTTTTAGACTCCTTTCGTATGAGATCGTCAGAGACTTATTTTAGTTACTGGTAAAGATGCTTACGCTCACTTATCTCACCAGATCGCTGGGCAAACAACAGGATTGAGTTGATTCTACTGTATATAGTATTTTATTTTATTCTATTCTGTACAGTTGTGTACTGTATTTATTCTTATTGTATTCTAATTTTTGCTTCATAACTTTTGCACTGTCCACTTCCTGCTGTGACAAAACAAATTTCCCACGTGTGGGACTAATAAAGGTTATCTTGTCTTATCTTATTATGCTGAGCACATGTCGAATGTCTCTATGAAATAAATGTTAAGCCTAAAACCAAGGTTGGAAAACAGAAACAGCTGCAGACTTATGTCTTTGCTAACTGCCCATGATATTAATTAAGGAAACTATTGGCCTTGACCAAACAACCACATAACCATAAATCAGCCCAGGAAACCTTCAAAACAGCTCACATGAAGTCTTAGGAAAATCTGAAGGAAGACATACATTTTGGACTAACAGTATTTTTCTTTTAGTTTTACAGCTGATTCTACTGACAAAGACCTCCCCCCACAGCCCTTCATACTGCACTAAAGTAATGAATAGGTAAAAAATTAAATGACAGAAAAGCTCCTGTTTTTTCACTACTATAGAATTTTTATTATTATTATTATTATTATTATTTTACTGTTGAAAAATATTTATCCAAACAATATTCCTGCTTATCTGGAGTACTCTAGTACTCCAAACTTAATTCTCTCCAGATAAACCCAGTTCCTCCTGGGAGATCCCAAACCATTCCCAGACAGATGAAATATATAATCTCTCTAGCAGGATGTAGGTTTACCCTGGGGTCTCTTTCCAGTTGGGTGTGCCTCCAAAGGGATGTGCCCAGGAGGTGTTCTAAATAATTGCCTGAAACACCTCACATGGGTCCTATCAACAGGCAAAATATCTTAGTTTAGTTTTTATTAGCCTGCACGTTAGTTATTTTTTCTTTAGTAGGTAATGTGTGGTACTAGTCAGTCACTAGCTTGGGTACTTGGTTTAGTTTTAGTCAACTACAACTTAGCTGCAAACTGCCTGTTTTCTCTGATTTTACCTTTCACTGTCTTCCCATTGAAAATGTCGACGTCAGCATCTGTCCCCTTATCTGTGGACACGTGACTGAGGACCAAAACAAAGGGATGAGGTGAATGACATGTTTTCAAAGGGATTAAACAACTAAAACAGGGGGCAATTTGACACCTTTCACAATCAGCTGAAAGGTCACAACACGACCTGTGTTTCACTTTGACCCACTCACGTTAACTACATTCAACTGCTACAATGACAGCTGGCTTTGCACATCAGTTATTACGTGTAATGTTCACATCAGTGAAGCAGAAAAGCCGACTAACCACATCATGAGATTCAGCAGGAACACTTTGTTCTGCTATCAGAGAAGTGCTAATGCTAGCCGGGTGTACCGGCGTTAGCTCTAAACTGTTGAACTACGTCATCGACAGCTTGTTAAAAACTGTATAACTAGAGGCGTTTTAATAAATACGTAAAATAAAAGTCAAACACATTTTCAAATAAGGAGTGTTGTAGAAGCAGAGCTGACTAAAGGAGGAGAGGTGACATACCAGCGGAGGGCAGTTTCATAACATCGCATAAGCTCGGCGCATAGAGCCAACGTCAGTTAGATCAAAAGTCTACAAAATAAGAGCGCGGGCCTTCAAAATAAAAACACCACCATTTTCGGGATTAAAGAGTAGTTGAGTGATGAACACTGATAAATAAAAAGTAAAACATCAAAAAAGAATAATTTAAATATTGAATACTGGACACATATAATTGTCAATAGAATTGTTTATTGTTCAGCACAATAAACAATTATACTGTCACCATTGTTACTGATATTGAAAGCTTATTGATAATTTGTCCAAGTAAAGAATGCCCTCCCACAAATGTCATGTGACAACCTCATTGGCTTACAGAATTGTGATGTCACACACATTTAGAATCTTACCACCACTGTGATCCTTTGATCCTTTGATCCTAAAACCTATAAATAGGGGTGAGACGCAAGAACTTTTAGTCCGTTATTCGCAGCATTTATGTGTGCAGCATTCAAACGTTCGCCAGAGAAGCCTTTTTTTGGATCCTTTTCAGAGTCACTGTTAACAGATTCCAACATGTCTCCAAGAAAACAGAAAAAAAGAGAAAACGTAAAGCCCAGCGCTCCTCTTTGCAATCGAGAAGACGATACTGAACTGCAGAAGATGTGCTTGGAAGAAATGCATGAGGAAAATCTCATGAACAATCACAATACGCGACACCCGCCCCAGCCAGAGTACACCAATTACATCTGGGAAAGTTTTTTTAAACAACGAACGGAGATTATCTTACTGAGAGAACACTGTGAGAGAAGGACCGATGAAGTAGATAGACTGTTCAGACAGCTTCTTGATAAGGAAGATATTCAAAAGGAGAAAGAAATGGAACTCCTAGACATGCGGGGAAGGATCTTTGAGCTCCAAGCAGAGCTTAATAAAGTACAAGAAAAGCCAACAGAAGAAATCCTCCAACAGAAGAAAAACGAGAAAGAGAGGGAAAAAAAGATTCAGGAGCTGCAAGTAAAGCTTGATCAAGCTCTGCAAAAAAATCAAGAACTCCTCCAAGAGAAGAAACAACTGGTCATAAAACTCCAAGGCGCTGAGATAAATCAAAAAGTGCTGAAAGGAAGGGTTGAGTTTCTTCGAAAGAAAGCGCAACAGACCATGAAAAAGGAAGATACGGATTGCAAGCTTCAGGACAGCGAGAAACACAAGGAAGCCTTGCAAATAAAGCTTGATGAAGCTCTGCAAAAAAATCAAGAACTCCTCCAAGAAAAAGAACAAATGGACATAAAGCAGCGCAAACTACAAGGCATGGAGGAAAAGTACAAAGGGCTTCAGGCAAAGCTTGATAAAACACTGAACAAAAATAAAGAGTTGCTTCAAGAAAAAAAGCAACTAGAAATTAAACAGAAAGAAATGGACTCCAAGCTTGAAGGCGTGGAGGAAAAGTACACCGCGCTGAAAATAAAGCTTGATAAAACAGTGCAAAGAAATAAGGATTTCCTACAAGACAAAGAACAGCATGACACGAAACAGAAAGATCTGGATTGTGAGCTTCAGAACATCAAGAAACACAACCAAGGTTTGCAAGTAATGCTTGATGAAGCTCTACAAAAAAATAAAGAAATCCTTGAAGAGAAAGAAAAACTGGACATAAACCAGAGAGGCATGCAGGAAAAATACAGAGCGCAGCAGGTAAAGCTTGATGAAACGCTGCACAAATATCAAGAGCTGCTTCAAGACAAAGAACAACGGAAAAGAAAGCAGAAAGAAGAAAAACAAATTCTCCAGGACTTTGAGAGGAAAAACCAACAGCTGCAAGACCGTTATAACAAACTGAACTCCAAAACAACTGAGCTGGAGGGGGAAAAGAAAAAAGTGCAAAGACAATGCTCAGAGATGCAGAGTAAGCTCAGTGACATGCTGAGAAAAAACACAGAACTGGAGAAACTTTCCAACAACTTGAAGTGCAAAAACACTGAGGTGCAGATGTTAAAGCAGCAAGTAGAGAAAACTAACACAGACCTGCAGTGTACACTTCAAGAACTCGAGAGAAGTCAGCAGCTACAAGACACACACAACAAATTACAACAGAGTTATACAGAGATGCACGAGGCAAAGCTTATGCAGGAGGCCAAATGTAAAGAACTGAAAGAAAGGCTGGAAGAAAAACAAGCCAAATTAGAAGAAGTGGAGACAACATGCAGGAAACTTGAGAAGGAAAATACACAAACAATTGATGAGTTAAGAACCCTCGTCCTAGAGAAGAAAGTGCTGGTGGAAAAGATCATGGAAAAGAAGAAAAAACGCTTCCGCTTCTTCTGGAGGAAGAGCACTCCTGCTTTTTCTACTTTTTCCACTTTTTCTTCTACTGATGTCACCCCGTCTTCCTCCTCCACCGTTGCATCGTAATTTTCACCTCTCCTGACACCTCTCCCTCCCCTACTTCCCTGTAACTCCCCCCCCTCTCTCTCTTTCACCCTCACCCCCCAACCAGTCCCGACAGTTGACTGCCCCCTCTAGAGCCTGGTTCTGTCATAGGTTTCTTCCTTTAAAGGGAGTTTTTCCTATCCACTGTCGCATCCAGTGCTTGCTCAGAGGGCATTGTTGGGGTTCTCTCACCTCTATCTCTTTCCTCCTTTCTATCCCTTTCCTTTACCCTCTTCTTTACCCCCCACCCCTCCCCTCCTTTTCTATTCCCCCACCTTTTCTATTTCCTTAATAATTGAATAATAAACACAATTGGCTACATTTTAAATGTGTCTGATCCACGTCTTCATTCAAGAATGAATTGTCTTTCTCACGGAGTCATGTGTATTTTGTGTTTTCCTCGGGCTGGTGATCCTCGCGGTCGTTCAGCCCCGGAGTCCAGAGTTTTAGTGTTTTAATCACATTTAGTGTTACGTTTTAGATCACCACAATAGGATATCCATAATTTAGGGTTCAGGCATTTGTTTTAGTTCAATATCGTATCATTCTATGATTGAGTAGTTTACAGAACCTTCAGTCAGCAGCAATAACTTCAATTCATTGACATTTGCAAGCAGCCAGAAGCCTGCTAGCAACTCTTTTTAAAGAGTCTAAATGGTGTCAGCAGATTTCCTTCAGTGAAATACCTCAAAATCAGAATTCTTGTTCAGTCATGCATGTCATAGGCCCCACAAAGTGAAACCAGCTTCCAGAAACTTGGCACCACAGTTTGACTCAGCCCTAATATTTGATCCACACATCAGAAAATTTACCAAGTTTTTTCATGAAGTGGAAAATTGTTAGGTCAGATCCTACACATGGGACCTCACGACATCACAGTGTAAAACAAGGATTTTATGCCTAAAGCAGTATTCACACAGTCACTTTTCTTTAATAAAACTTTGCACCAGCTGTTTTGTCTAAGTAATGAAAGGGCTAAAAAGACTGCGTAGTTTTCCATGTGGACTATTGAAGTAGCTTTGTATGAGTCACAGTTCAAAATAATCCCCTGCAACCTTTTTCTGATTGGCTGCCTCTGGTAAACAGAAAATGAGTGGGTGAGGCTTCTGGTCACAGCCAGAGTGAGATGACTATATTAGGGCTACCCTCTCTCTTTGACATCATACAGACCTAGGAGTAGAAAAAAACTGCAATTTCCTGAGCTGACTGAATTAAAAGCACATTCAGGAGCACTGACTGCAAATAACTGCAATGAGGCTTAAACAAATATATATTTAGGCTGTAAGACTACATGATGTGTTATATGTATGTTTAGGGAATCTAAACCTTCTTTAAACTTTTCTTTTTATTCTTGAAATCCATTTGTAACTGGAATCTCACTCCTATTACAAATAATTCTCTTGGAGTTAAACAAGTTCAGTATTAAGAAGAAAAAACAGTTTTACTGCCCCATATAAAAGTTAGATATTTGGGCTTGAGATGAGTAAAGTTAATAGAGAGTTAAAATAGAAACAATAAAAATGCACACCAGTGAAAGACTAAAAGTAAAGGAACAGAAGTAATAATGAAGACAACTGAGAGACCATAAAAGATGACATCACATGATGGCAAGCCTATAAAAAGGTGTCATACAAAATGAAGTCCAAAGTTAAAGTTACTATTAGATTAGGTCTCAATTATCTAACCAGATTTGCCCAGCTGAGGTTAAATATTGGCATTCTTTTTAAAAATGATTACATTATATATCTTCTTCAACATAATCAGCCTCGGGAGAGTAGGGTGGAACTAAATGTGGAGCAAAGAGTATCTAGGGTGAAGGGAGTATCTGCCATCAAACAAGAAGACAGCCGCATGTAACTACAACGGTGTTTTCTAGTTCACCTTACATGCATTAATTTAATAAGTGGTTAGCCTACTCAATGTAAATTACACATGAACAACATTAAGCTACTCACACAGAGTATAACGGCCATCATCATCCGTCATCATTTCTGCTACACTGGCAGGGCTAGGGGCCAGGCCTCTCCTCTTCGGGTTCTTGGGGGATGTTGCTAACTCCGGGTCCGATAACAGGCACCACACCCGCAGTAGATGTGCTCGGTGTGAGGTCTCGCAGCAAGCTATCAAATACGGTGCATTTCTGAGCTTCAAGTTTAAATGAAACTTGTGGGTTGGATCTATGTGGCAGAAGCTGTTGTCAGCATTTATCCCTGTGTGGTATACATTTCTGGGTCTGAACTGTGATCTTATTTCCTGAGACAAACGATGTAAAAGCTCTGCTGCATTTGTGAGACTGACTGACAGAAGCGAGGCTGCCATATCGCGCCATCATCAGTAGGCGGTAGGTAAAGTGTCTTGCCCAATAAGGACACAACGACCAAGACAGAGAGAGCTGGGGGTCAAACCGGCAACCTTCCAGTTACAAGATGAGCTTCCCGACCCCCTGAACTACGGATGCCCTACATGACTGTCAGGACAACTTATGTATTGCAAGTATGCAGTACTGGACTCATCTCGGACGGGGATGAGTCTGCCTACAGGAGTGAGGTTGAACGTCTGGTGTCTTGGTGCAGCCACAACAACCTGGTGCTGAATGCCCAGAAGACAGTGGAGATTATTGTGGACTTCAGGAAGCACACAGCCCCACTCCCCCCCATCATCCTGACTGACACCCTCATCACCTCTGTGGACTCATTCCGCTTCCTGGGTACCACCATCACCTAGGACCTGAAGTGGGAGCCCACCATCACCTCCGTCATTAAGAAAGCCCAGCAGAGGATGTATTTCCTGAGGCAGCTGAAGAAATTCAACCTGCCAACACGGACGATGATGCAGTTCTACACTGCAATCATCGAGTCCATCCTCACCTCCTCCATCACCGTGTGGTACGCTGGAGCCACTATCAGGGACAAACAGAGACTGCAGCGTGTTGTGCGCTCTGCTGAGAAGGTGATTGGCTGCAGACTCCCATCTTTGCAGGACCTGTACACCTCCAGGACATTGCGGCGTGCAGCTCGGATCTCAGCTGACCCTTCTCACCCTGGACACAGTCTGTTTGACCTGCTCCCCTCAGGCAGGAGGCTCCGGTCCATTCGCACCAGAACCTCTCGCCATAAGAACAGTTTCTTCCCCTCTGCTGTTGAACACATGAACAATAACCGTATGACTGTTCCCGCTACTAACACATGACCCTACGCTGTGTTCACTGCATCATTCCATGATTGGCACTGATCACCACCTGCACTCATGTATATATCTTTCAACGTAGCACTCTTAATTCTTATTCTCATGTATATATCTCATGTATAGCTCATGCACATATCTTTCTACGTAGCACTTTTAATTCTTATCCCTACTAGGGCTGGGCCATATTATACCGTTCACGGTAATACCGGTATAATGTTAGGCAACGATAGGAAAATGAAATATCGCGATAGAATGGGAGTAAAACGCGCATGCGCAGTGCCTTTGTTTTCATACGCACATGGCCGATTGTTGAGTGAAACAGATGAACCAGAATTGGTTTGTAAAAATGGTGCAACTTCCGTGATGTGGAACTGGTTTGGTGTTTGTCCGTCAGATACACAACAAAGCACATTTTTTTTGCAGAACATGCAAGCGGCCGTCGTTATTGTCGTATTTGTCGGACTAAGATGCTCTTAAATCTGGGAGTAATCTGGGTCCTAAACTCCGTATGCTTCAGGTCAAACAACACTGCAGCATCACTTAGAGTTAAAAACTGTCTAAATTCTTTCATCTTTAATAAAACGATCAGCATTGCTGCTTTACCAGGTGTAACTATAAAGTTTAACTTCCAGGCATCCATGAAAACAAAAGTTATTACATTTAACGGAGTTAGAAGTTAGCAGGAAGCTAGCGGAAGTTAGCTCGCTAGTTTCGCTAGTTACCTCAGCATGATATTGCATGTTCTGACTGAGAGATTTCTGAAAAAAATCAAACGTACAGCTCTGTTATCACTTCCAACATAAATGAAGACAGGAAACTAAACAGCAGTGACGTTTGTAGGGTTACTGAAGTTGGGCTAGCTGGTATATAATGATGTGCTACGTGATCGCTAGCGACACAGCTATGTTAGCATAACATAAACAGTGAAGCTGGAGGACGAACACTAACACTTTTCCACTTATAAAAGTTAACGTGAAGGTTCTTCATGGTTAGAGACAAATGCAATCGCATGGCAGGATGCTGTAAACGGACCAAACTTCAGTCAGGAGAACAACTGAGATAATCCATCCACAATACGAGGTTAGTCATTAATATACTGCAACAACATGGGAATAGAGCAGCTGCCAGAGAATTCAACATTAATGAATCAATGGTACAGAAGTGGAGGAAGCAAGAAGAATGAGTTTAATAAAGTTTGATTTATCTGACTGCTTTGTTTCGCTTAATGTGCCTTATAATCCCGTGCACCTTATGGTCCGAAAAATGCGTACTGCACACTGCAGTTTAATGTTGCAAAGCACCTCTTTTTAACTTCAGTGGATATTATACATGGTTATGCTCAGGATATGTCAGCCCATTTCTACTGGAAATGCCTTTTGGTTAAACTTTCAGCAAGGAATTTGCATTTGCACTGTTACATTTTTATAAAGCTTTAATGTACATAAAAACCAGCTTCTTGTTTAAGTGAAAATAAATGGAAGGTTGTCTTTTTGCGCTAGTAATGTTGTGGAGTTGTATTTTGTCTCGCATCAATTATATCGTCGGTTATATCGTTATCGCAAATTTTCAAATATATATCGTGATAAATATTTTTGGCCATATCGCCCTGCTCTAATCCCTACTTTTATTTTTTCATGTCTATTTAAGTGCTATTTATGACACTATGTTTGCACTGAAGCACCGCAGCAATTTCCTAATGTTGTAAACCTGCTCAACATTTGGCAATAAACCCCTTTCTGATTCTGATTCTGATTCTAAGAATAACTTGATGTTTCTGACTTTGCATTATGAATTTTTTACCCACTGACAAACATTTCAAGTTCTACTAAATTAAAAAACAATTTGTGGTAACCTGATTATGATTCAAAAAGAATAATTAACAACACTTCTTGTAATGGTGTTAAAATCAGCCCAGCTTTTATTTTAAAATGCAAAAAGTAAAAGAAAATCAGCCAACATACTGGACACATATAATTGTCAATAGAATTGTTTATTGTTCAGCACAATAAACAATTATACTGTCACCATTGTTACTGATATTGAAAGCTTATTGACAATTTGTCCAAGTAAAGAATGCCCTCCCACAAATGTCATGTGACAACCTCATTGGCTTACAGAATTGTGATGTCACACACATTTAGAATCTTACCACCACTGTGATCCTTTGATCCTTTGATCCTAAAACCTATAAATAGGGGTGAGACGCAAGAACTTTTAGTCCGTTATTCGCAGCATTTATGTGTGCAGCATTCAAACGTTCGCCAGAGAAGCCTTTTTTTGGATCCTTTTCAGAGTCACTGTTAACAGATTCCAACATGTCTCCAAGAAAACAGAAAAAAAGAGAAAACGTAAAGCCCAGCGCTCCTCTTTGCAATCGAGAAGACGATACTGAACTGCAGAAGATGTGCTTGGAAGAAATGCATGAGGAAAATCTCATGAACAATCACAATACGCGACACCCGCCCCAGCCAGAGTACACCAATTACATCTGGGAAAGTTTTTTTAAACAACGAACGGAGATTATCTTACTGAGAGAACACTGTGAGAGAAGGACTGATGAAGTAGATAGACTGTTCAGACAGCTTCTTGATAAGGAAGATATTCAAAAGGAGAAAGAAATGGAACTCCTAGACATGCGGGGAAGGATCTTTGAGCTCCAAGCAGAGCTTAATAAAGTACAAGAAAAGCCAACAGAAGAAATCCTCCAACAGAAGAAAAACGAGAAAGAGAGGGAAAAAAAGATTCAGGAGCTGCAAGTAAAGCTTGATCAAGCTCTGCAAAAAAATCAAGAACTCCTCCAAGAGAAGAAACAACTGGTCATAAAACTCCAAGGCGCTGAGATAAATCAAAAAGTGCTGAAAGGAAGGGTTGAGTTTCTTCGAAAGAAAGCGCAACAGACCATGAAAAAGGAAGATACGGATTGCAAGCTTCAGGACAGCGAGAAACACAAGGAAGCCTTGCAAATAAAGCTTGATGAAGCTCTGCAAAAAAATCAAGAACTCCTCCAAGAAAAAGAACAAATGGACATAAAGCAGCGCAAACTGCAAGGCATGGAGGAAAAGTACAAAGGGCTTCAGGCAAAGCTTGATAAAACACTGAACAAAAATAAAGAGTTGCTTCAAGAAAAAAAGCAACTAGAAATTAAACAGAAAGAAATGGACTCCAAGCTTGAAGGCGTGGAGGAAAAGTACACCGCGCTGAAAATAAAGCTTGATAAAACAGTGCAAAGAAATAAGGATTTCCTACAAGACAAAGAACAGCATGACACGAAACAGAAAGATCTGGATTGTGAGCTTCAGAACATCAAGAAACACAACCAAGGTTTGCAAGTAATGCTTGATGAAGCTCTACAAAAAAATAAAGAAATCCTTGAAGAGAAAGAAAAACTGGACATAAACCAGAGAGGCATGCAGGAAAAATACAGAGCGCAGCAGGTAAAGCTTGATGAAACGCTGCACAAATATCAAGAGCTGCTTCAAGACAAAGAACAACGGAAAATAAAGCAGAAAGAAGAAAAACAAATTCTCCAGGACTTTGAGAGGAAAAACCAACAGCTGCAAGACCGTTATAACAAACTGAACTCCAAAACAACTGAGCTGGAGGGGGAAAAGAAAAAAGTGCAAAGACAATGCTCAGAGATGCAGAGTAAGCTCAGTGACATGCTGAGAAAAAACACAGAACTGGAGAAACTTTGCAACAACTTGAAGTGCAAAAACACTGAGGTGCAGATGTTAAAGCAGCAACTAGAGAAAACAAACACAGACCTGCAGTGTACACTTCAAGAACTCGAGAGAAGTCAGCAGCTACAAGACACACACAACAAATTACAACAGAGTTATACAGAGATGCACGAGGCAAAGCTTATGCAGGAGGCCAAATGTAAAGAACTGAAAGAAAGGCTGGAAGAAAAACAAGCCAAATTAGAAGAAGTGGAGACAACATGCAGGAAACTTGAGAAGGAAAATACACAAACAATTGATGAGTTAAGAACCCTCGTCCTAGAGAAGAAAGTGCTGGTGGAAAAGATCGTGGAAAAGAAGAAAAAACGCTTCCGCTTCTTCTGGAGGAAGAGCACTCCTGCTTTTTCTACTTTTTCCACTTTTTCTTCTACTGATGTCACCCCGTCTTCCTCCTCCACCGTTGCATCGTAATTTTCACCTCTCCTGACACCTCTCCCTCCCCTATTTCCCTGTAACTCCCCCCCCTCTCTCTCTTTCACCCTCACCCCCCAACCAGTCCCGACAGTTGACTGCCCCCTCTAGAGCCTGGTTCTGTCATAGGTTTCTTCCTTTAAAGGGAGTTTTTCCTATCCACTGTCGCATCCAGTGCTTGCTCAGAGGGCATTGTTGGGGTTCTCTCACCTCTATCTCTTTCCTCCTTTCTATCCCTTTCCTTTACCCTCTTCTTTACCCCCCACCCCTCCCCTCCTTTTCTATTCCCCCACCTTTTCTATTTCCTTAATAATTGAATAATAAACACAATTGGCTACATTTTAAATGTGTCTGATCCACGTCTTCATTCAAGAATGAATTGTCTTTCTCACGGAGTCATGTGTATTTTGTGTTTTCCTCGGGCTGGTGATCCTCGCGGTCGTTCAGCCCCGGAGTCCAGAGTTTTAGTGTTTTAATCACATTTAGTGTTACGTTTTAGATCACCACAATAGGATATCCATAATTTAGGGTTCAGGCATTTGTTTTAGTTCAATATCGTATCATTCTATGATTGAGTAGTTTACAGAACCTTCAGTCAGCAGCAATAACTTCAATTCATTGACATTTGCAAGCATTCCTTTATACACAGCATTTCAGTCAGGTTGAGGTCTGGACTTCCATGCTGTAGATTTGCTGCTGTGCTTGGGGTCATTATCCTGTTGCATGGCCTAATTTAGGAGAAGCTTTAGCTGTCGGTCAGGTGGCCTCACATTTGACTCTAGAAAACTCTGGCATACAGAGGATTTCGTCAACTGCAAGGTGCCTATTCTCTTGTAGCTGCAGAACAAGCTTAAATCAAAAAATTATTCACTGCTACGAATCCTGGGATAGGGTGGGCCATGAAGGACACACCCGAACCATCCTTCAAATCCAGGTAAAAGGAGGAGGCATTTGTGGGTCACATTTGGAGCAGCCTTTGTCGCCTGGCTGTGATGTAATCGGCCATTAAAGGCAGCCTCAGAATCACAAAACAACCACAATGAACCAAAGTGCTGTACAGTACTGAAAATTTAAAAAAAATAAAAATATATCTACAAAAACATGATACTGAAATTTAAAAAAAAAAAAAAATCTACAATGTGCTGTACAGAAGATTAAATACATAAAAACAAATAGAAAGAAAAGCCACAGAAAAGGAAAAAAAAAAAAACTTTGTACAAATAAATAAACAATAAAATCAAATCAGCTGTCACCAGGGTGTACCCTGGACTGGCGCAGGGCTAACACACAGACAACCAGTTGCACAATTTAGAGTTTCCACGCAATCACAGGAGAACATGCAAACTCCACACAGAAAGACCCACAATTTCATACCATAAGGTCACCATTTGCCCAACAACTTCACAAAAGCTGGAGAATTTATTGCTGGACCATGTACTCTCATGTGCCAGTTAGGAGTAGAGAATTGGTTTTAGTTACAATGAAACCATTTCTCTTTTAACACAAACAGTGTGGATGCTGAAGAGCTTCATCTGTCATGGACGTGACCAATAACCCGATGCCACTCTGACAAAGCTCCAGCATTGCTGTGTGGAGAATGGAGAACCTTTAAGAAGGACAATGACTTCTGCAGCTCTCCACCAATCAGGCGTGTATGGTAGTGTGGTGGCGCGAATGAGGGATAACCGGGGACGGCAACTAAGATGTTGACAACGTCACCTGGGGGAGGAAGTTACACCCCAGGAAAGATTCCTCTATCCAATGTAAGTGTTACATTGGCTACCAAAGCCCACAGACTCGTTATTAACAGCAGAGAGGAGACAGATGAATTTTACAAATTAAAATTTATTAAGAAGAACTACTAAAAGCATAGAATTGTAAAATCAGAAAGGTACCTAAGGTAGCAGGGTTGAGACGGCAGGATAGTTAATTAAAAACACTTTATTAACAACTGATTAAAATGACCAGACTCCCTCCCACGATGCTCTAAAACAATCAGAGATTGATTAAAAAACAAACAAAACAATACTAAACAAAATAGTGGAGACCGGCCACTTGAGGAGGCAACCTACAGGGAGGAGTGCCCAAGGATGCTACCAGTTACTCACCCGTGTAACTCCACTGCAGACCTCACTGTCACTCACACTGAAGTCTAAATGGTGCAATCTACCTATGCCCACCTCACGTGCCTAGCCCCTCAACAAGCGGCCGCACCTCCACTAAAGCAATAAAACAAAGCATAAAACGTTAAACAAATTAGTAAAAGAGTACGGTGGCCCCTAGAGACAAAGCACGTACAAACTCCAAAACACATGCAAATTCCAAAACACATGCAAACTCCAAAACACTTGCAAACTAAAGAACACACGCAAACTCCAAAACACGTACAAACTCCAAAACACTTACAAATTCCAAAACACTTGCAAAACCCAAAACACGTACAAACTCCAAAACACTTGCAAAACCCCAAACACTTGCAAAACCCAAAACACTTGCAAAACCCAAAACACTTGCAAACCCCAAAACACGTACAAACTCCAAAACACTTGCAAAACCCAAAACACGTGCAAACTCAAAAACACGTGCAAACTCAAAAACACGTGCAAACTCAAAAACACGTGCAAATTCCAAAACACTTGCAAAACCCAAAACACGTGCAAATTCCAAAACACTTGCAAAACCCAAAACACTTGCAAAACCCAAAACACTTGCAAAACCCAAAACACGTACAAACTCCAAAACACTTGCGAAACCCAAAACACGTACAAACTAAAAAACACGTGCAAATTCCAAAACACGTACAAACTCCAAAACACGTACAAATTCCAAAACACTTGCAAAACCCAAAACACGTACAAACTCCAAAACACTTGCAAAACCCAAAACACTTGCAAAACCCAAAACACGTACAAACTCCAAAACACTTGCAAAACCCAAAACACTTGCAAACTAAAAAACACATGCAAACTCAAAAACACGTACAAATTCCAAAACACTTGCAAAATCCAAAACACTTGCAAAATCCAAAACACGTACAAATTCCAAAACACGTACAAACTCCAAAACACTTGCAAAACCCAAAACACGTACAAATTCCAAAACACGTACAAACTCCAAAACACTTGCAAAACCCAAAACACTTGCAAACTAAAAAACACGTGCAAATTCCAAAACACGTACAAATTCCAAAACACGTACAAATTCCAAAACACGTACAAATTCCAAAACACGTACAAATTCCAAAACACGTACAAATTCCAAAACACGTACAAACTCCAAAACACGTACAAACTCCAAAACACTTGCAAAATCCAAAACACTTGCAAAATCCAAAACACTTGCAAAATCCAAAACACTTGCAAAATCCAAAACACTTGCAAAATCCAAAACACGTACAAATTCCAAAACACGTACAAATTCCAAAACACGTACAAATTCCAAAACACGTACAAATTCCAAAACACTTGCAAACTCAAAACACGTACAAACTCCAAAACACTTGCAAAATCCAAAACACGTACAAATTCCAAAACACGTACAAATTCCAAAACACTTGCAAACTCAAAAACACATGCAAATTCCAAAACACAACGGAAGTGCTCCAGGACGCTAGTAGGTCATCAGTGAGAGCCTCCTCTCTTGCATCAAGGTAGAGCTGGTAGAGTGGGGTTTTCCCTCGTGTAACGTCAATCACCTTTGCTGCAACACATGAGAGCCCTTCACGAAATCGCTGGCTTACATTACCCGTTGTTGGTTGGATCCACCCGAGTTCGTTGCACAGCTACAAGTAAAAAATAAATTTTCAGTACAAAATAACAGTGTATGAAAATGAAATAATCTAAAGTTGATATTAATTATGTATGGTGCTGCATAATTATTTTTTTATAGAATTTAACAACAATACTGTAAGAAGTTACATGAACATACAAAAAAAGGAAAGAGGGACAGATGAAGAAAGCAAGGTCAAGGGCAAATAAAATTTACTACTATAAACATGTTAAATGTGACAGCTATTTCCAAGTTCAGTTCAGCTTTCTGACTTACACCAGTAGGCATCCCTAAGAAGGGGTACTTCTTCAACACATACTCCACAGGCATACCATCTGCAATTTCTTTTTGCCGCCAAGCAAACGTTTGCTGCATACGGTTATGAACCACCATGGTATCTGGTTGCATCTTCTGATATTGGCACTGTAAGACCTTTAAGTGGGCGTCGATGGATAATAAATCCTCTCCTTGGACGCATGGTCCCTTGAAAGAAAGCAAGAGTGAGAAGAGAAAGTCAAAACAGATTAGAAACCCAACATAAGACTAAATATACAATTAGAGCTGACACGATCTGTGCATCACAAAGAACTCGTATCGTTTAAAGTTAACCGATACCATGAACCAATATTTAAAATATGGAAACTCTGAAATAATTTCACATAAAATCTTAATTGTTAACTTGAAATTTTAGTTTTGGAGTCATATTTAAAATGTTGGTTTTTTTTTAATCTAGTTCACCCTCTTTTAGCGCCTTCTAATTAATAATATTTTGTGAGGTAGAAGTATTAGCACTGGTACTTTGTATTAGCAAGTGCTCTAATCCAAGTATTGGTATAGTTTTGGTTTGAAAAAAGGGGTACAGTTGCATCCCTAATCCTTAGTTTTAGATGTAATAACAGAGGCAAGAACATTTTATAGCTCAAGATGTCCCTCACACCAACCTGACAAACATTTCTCTGACTTGTTCGTTGACATTTATTAGGCTGCCCTCTCCTCGTAGAACCAAACTTCTCCTTACAACGCCTCACTACCTCACTGTCGACTAGTGGTGCCCGCTCTGATTTGAATTTACGTCTCAAAGACATATGCCATGTGTGCTTGTTGAACAGAAACATAAGTTACTGTAAAAACAATCTACACAAAATACACCCAACAAAGAATCAGTAAACATACTTCATACAAACCTACTGAGAGGCTACAGATTGTCTTACTAACAAAACAAGATTGAAAAAAGCTTCACTTTTACTTTGTAATCTTGAAGGAACCTTATGCAAATTTTAAATTTAACTTACATAACCATTTCCCTCACGATCCTTGAGGAAAGGATACTTCATTACCAGCGTCTTCACAGCTTGCACATATTCAGAATTTGTAGGATACCTGTAATATCAGAAGAAACATAAGTGTTAGAGCAACTGCTGACAAACAAACTTTATCAAGTGTCAGTTATTGTTTCTTAGTAATGTAGCGTTTATTTTCAATATGACAGATTCAGCTTTTTCTAAAGCAACAAGCTAACATTACCCTGATTAACTTACATAGTATACTGTGCCACAGCTTCATATAGAACTCTGATTATTGTGTGTCTGTCCCTTGGATTTTTATGGCACGGTTCTTTGTTGTCCAGTTTTAGTTGCAGATTTTTGGGAAATCTTGGAATTTCAAAAGAGGCTGGCAGTCTCAAAGTATTTTCATTGCTGTGAAAACAGTTAAATGTTTGTTTTTATTGCATGAATTGAAGTATAAAACACTACAGTAACAATACATATGGTAGGAAAAATGATCATATTAACTAAATCCTAAAAGTGCATAATGGCCAACATGTATGTTTCAGACATACTAACTTCATTATAAATAAGAAAATACCTTATTGAAGTTGACGAAGTAGATGGTTGCCAGTCTTCTGGAGAGACAGTCTGTAGAGTCAGCGTCACTGAAGATTCCTTCATCCTTGACACAAATTGGTTGAATTTAACCTGCTTTTTGAAGGATCCTTGGAAAAGGTATGCAACCATAGTCTCAGTAAGACCGCAGTCAACTGTGTCACCATCAACCTCATTGTCTGCAAGATAAATGGTAGTACAAACTCTAAATTCCATGTAAGAATATTTATCACCACATTTTTACATGGGTAAAAACCGTATATCACACACATTAAAACCTTTTGTACAACTTCTTTCAGTTCAAAGAAATATTCATTAAAAAAAATCAGTAAATTAAATAAAATAAACCAAATTTTTAGAGTGAATCCTCTTGATATGCAAAGTTTTCATTTTTAAATTTAGATGTTTGTTTGGGACTACTGGACACAGGAGAGCAGAGTCTGAGCATGCTTTTGTGCCCTTTCAAGTTTGGAAGAAAAAAAAAAGACTAGAATGCTGTAATTTGTTAATATTCACTACTAAGGTGACTCCTTTCTCCAGATTTCCGACAGTTTCTGCCGTCTGTTCTTTCAGACCGATTACTTATAGCGATAACACCCGGAGGACCGTATTACAAGCTCAGATTACATGCTGAAAAAGTTCCCACATTGCTGAAAACGGGACTATCAAACCCCAGCTGCGACACCCTTGTTATATTTTAAACAAGTGCGGCGTCAAGATATTTCCTTTAAACGCCGCCCATGTGTGTTAATGGCCTTGGAGTGGATGTAAAAACGTGATTTTATTAAACCATTAATACACTAACGGTAAACTGCATTCAGCTACCAGGGAATCAAATTTCGCGCCGTTCCGCTGCGCAGGGGTTACCGAACCCATAGACTGTGGCCGAACCACATATATAAGTTCAAACTTATACAAATACTATGTGTACACATTTTTCATTTTTCAGAACTGTGACCTCAACTTTACACATGAAACGTTTGTAAAAACGTTTGTAAAAAGACATAATTTGAGCTAAGAGAGTGCCGAAACTAGCTAAATTGCTAATATACGTTAAGCTAGGCTAAACCAATAATTAGTAATTACGCTACATTTTTCTTTAAATAAAACTTACCTCTGAAACGCTGAGCTTCAGCTTCGGTGACATCTAAGCCCCACTCTTGTATTTTTGTTAAGAGTTCCTCGGTTGAAAGTGAACAGAGCACACCAGGACTTGCAAGTTCGTAATCCATCTCCGTCCGTTGATAAAACAAAATGGCACCTGCTGCATTTAAAGAAAGTTCTAGAATCCACCAGCTATTCGTTGAGTTTCTTCTTCTACTTTTTGTTTGATGTTGTGAGGATGGGCTCAACTCGCACTCCGAAGGTGCTTTTTTGCAATTCATCCAAATACTTATACTTAAAAAAAAAAAAACGCTCTCTTAAAAAAATGTTTAAATGCATTTTTACTTTTTTTTCTTTCAAATAAATTCGTTGTTCTTAAAGCAGCTTAAAAATAAGGGGGGTTCAGGGAATACAAAAACAACAACAGCAATGAAAATAATAAAAAATAAAATAAAAACACTAAAATATATGCTTAAATCAATACAGTTGCAAATAAATTACTGTCAAAAAGAATTTAAAAAAAAACCTCTAATCAAAAAGAGCTTAATCAACCTGTACTTTATCTTTTGAAAGAATGGGTACAAATAAGTACTTTTCACAATTAAGGAACATGTATGTACCTTTCAGACGCTAAAAAAGGTACAGATAGTTCCCCCGAGGTCCAATATTTGTCCTTAGACTGTATTAATGTCATTTTTGTACCTTGGGGCACAGTAATGTACTCCTTCCGTACCCCTATTTCTGACTGTGTACAGATTCAAGTTGCAGTTATTTATATGTCTTATCACCTTAAATCTTCACTCAAAGGCAAGTATCTTTGACAGTGCATATATAGGTGTATCATATATAAGAGACAAATGTTGTTCCTTCATGCTGGCATTACTAAATTTGGCTCATTGCTTACATATATTTATAAAAAGAAAATGTACAAGCTGTGATAACTGTTTCTGATAAAATGAAGAGTAGACTGATATATGAAATATTCCTTTATTGGGTGAGAAAATCAGACCATGTCATAACTGCTTTAAGTCATACAGAATAGATATCAGAGCCTTAAACAGGCTGGCTTCTGCTAAATGGGTCAAACTGGGCAGAAAGTAAACAAACACATAACATCCTTACAGAATATGATGTAACACTATAGATCAACTTAGCTCAGAATATATAAAGCATATAAACAATTACAGCAATATGATGCAACAAACACAGCAGTGCTACTGATCCAAAATACTCAAAGCTTCATAGAACTGAAACAAACATTTGTTTTTAGCTCCATTCTGCTGCTGATACATACTTTAGGTTTCTGAATATTACACTTGTTGCTGCCTTTCATAGTGTGTAACTTGAAGGCCCTGAGTACTTTCTCCCACACTGAAAACACTGGAATGATAAAATTATTTGAACATTACCTAATAAGACTGATTCAGGACAGACAATTAGTTATTTTAAACTTTTCTAGCAGTCCTTCACAAACAGGGAACAGTCTGTCTATTCTCTCCATCTGTCAGCTGCTGCTGGCTCTTCCTCCTCCTCTTCCTCACACACTGTTGAGTTTGTCCTGGTGGATCATCAGGGGTGCAAAGCCTCACAGATGATGTGCAGCAGTGGGTCCCTCAGTCTGTCCTCACTCTGGACACTTGCAGTCGTCACACATGGAAATCAAATGTGTGATAAGCTGCAGGATTCAAACACAAGTGTGACTTATAAACACATGTTCATATTTTTATTACACAATCAGAGAGAAAGAAACAGAGAGAGTGCAGGACAGACAGGTGACAGTCTCAGGTGTATACACTGCTACAAAACAGCACAAAAGAAGGAGGATTTAGTGTTTGTGTTATTACGAAACAAGAGGAGTTCCCAGATGGTGCAGTGGACACACATGTGTGACTCCTGTGATTAAAGCATCTTTCTTTCAGCTTAACGAGTGAACCGTCAGCTCGTTCAAACACACGTTAAAGTCCGTTTGGCTCGACACCACCGAACTGAGGCAGCAATATAACACAGCTAACATTAACAGTGCAGTGAATCCTGCTTGTGCTGTGATATTCAGGACTGCAAACCGAGCAGCATCACTGACTTTCAGCTTGTTGTGTTTGTGGATATATGACTGACTTTAATTATCCACAAAATCATCACAATCTCTGTAAGATTAAGGTCGACTACATATATTTTTTTAAAGTAAAGGCTTTAAAACCAAGTTAATTCTGAAAGTACAGACATGACTAATGTCACATAACTTTCCCGACATGTGGCCAACAATAATGGTTTAATGTTCTTCATTAAAAAAATATTTGCGCATAAATAAGTGACATAATATTCAGTACTTACTTCTGAAAGTTTACACTTCCTCCGCTCCGCTTCCACCGTTTTTTTTCGGCAAAATTATCCACACCACCACGCACTATGAAGTCTGGGATATGTTGGGCCATGAAGGCTACACCGACCCATCCTTAAAATTCAGGGAAATTATGGACGCATTTGAGGGCCGCATTTCGAGCAGCCTTTGAATTGGGAAAGCCTTCTCTTGTCGCTGTGACGTAATCGGCCTTAAAATGCGGCCTTTAAGGCTGCAAACCCCAAATCCGGTCATTGGTACTTCCTGGCTTGTGTAGTTACTAGGTAACAAAAGCTCAACACTGCCCCTAGCGTCCTGGAGCACTTCCGTTGTGTTTTGGAATTTGCATGTGTTTTTGAGTTTGCAAGTGTTTTGGAATTTGTACGTGTTTTGGATTTTCCAAGTGTTTTGGAATTTGTACGTGTTTTGGAATTTGTACATGTTTTGGATTTTGCAAGTGTTTTGGAATTTGTACGTGTTTTGGAATTTGCATGCGTTTTGGATTTTGCAAGTGTTTTGGAATTTGTACGTGTTTTGGATTTTGCAAGTGTTTTGGAATTTGCATGTGTTTTGGAGTTTGTACGTGCTTTGTCTCTAGGGGCCACCGTAAAAGAGATCTACATAAAACAACTACACCCCAAGTTACTGTTCTTTATAAAAAGCATCACATAACAAACAAACAAACAAACAGCATAAGACAAGACAGCAGCAGCATGGCGCAATCCACTCTCTAAAGGGCAATACTAGAATGAGTAGCTTTCCTGAGGAGATCTGCAGTGCTTCGCTGCCTAATGCTCTCAGCCCCCTTAGATGGTAAAAGACTACCAAATGCCTCCATGTGGTAGTGAAGCGCAGCTGTTTCTTATAAGGCCGCTAATTATCAGCTGGGAAGGTGTGGGTGGTAGTGCTGCATTCGTGGACATCACGTAAAATCCTACCCCAGAATCTACTTCACTACAGTAGAGTGTCCAGATGGAAGCCACTCTTCATTAAAAGGCACATAACAGTTAACTTGGAGTTTCACTGTCACAGAAGGCACCTGAAAGACTTTCACACCATAAGAAACAAAATTCTCTGGCTCTTCTGTGAGCTATGGCGGAGCTTCCATAGAGAACAGGTGGGTGAGGGAAAGGGGAGGCAGGAGGAGGAGAGACCCGAGACGGCCGCCGAGTGTCAGGTGAACTGATCTTCAGGTAAGAAGTTATGACCTGCAGTCTATCTTTTCTTTTCTTTTCTTTTCTTTTCTTTTCTTTTCTTTTCTTTTCTTTTCTTTTCTTTTCTTTTCTTTTCTTTTCTTTTCTTTTGACAACGTGATTAAAATCATGTTCATGTTGTAATGACATTCATATTATAATAGTATAAAATAAAAATAGATACAATTAAAACTATGCATTTTCAAACAATAAAAAGTCACTCCAGAAAAGAATTAAAAGTCAACTAAAAAAGAAAAGAAAACTAAATTAAATATATACAGCGCTGTGCAAACGTTTGGAGCCTCCACTCATTTCCTTGAATATCAATATTTGAAAAATATTGAGAGGGTGCTGAGGACTTTTGGACAGCACTACATTATTTATTTATTTACTGTACAGCACTTTGGTCCTGTGCTGGCTATTTTAAAGTGCTTTATAAATAAAGTTGGATTGAATTGGATTATAATTAATATTAAAATAAGTTTGTCTTATAACTATAATTCATAAATATAATTTACATTGTAGAAATATGCACAAAATTTATATTTTTTTCCACATCTGTCAGTAATATCTTACTGACAATATAACATTATTATTATTTACACTCTTTGCCGCTAGGTGGTGATAAGAAGCAAATTTTTTGCCGTTCGTGGGAAAAGAGGAAGAAACCACCTTTCGCTGGTTTGGCTTCTTCTTCGCCTACCTCGGAAACGACAGGTAAACAAGCCACAAAACGTTTGTCCTTATTTGGTTTTATAGAAAATCAACCAGACAATATTATCTTAGAGTAAACGAGAACACAGGAGTTGTTATGTTAGACGTTTATTTTATCAGGAAGTCGCACTTCCTATTTAATTCCTTTCCAGCTCTCCGGTTCATTGAAAGTTTTTGACTGTTTTTAGTCCAATGGTGGAAAAAATTGGGAGCTACTGGTTAGTAAATAAAGAATAACTTCATTAGCAGTAACAAATCAGGAGCTTTTATGTGAGTAAATTGACGCTGAGCGGTCACGTTTTTAAATGTGTCTGTTCTCCTTTTCAACCTCGCTGACAAATCTGCATTGAACAAACTGTTGACGCCTTAAAGAAGTTGTCCTCCCGTTTTTGGTTATGCCACTGCACCCAATGCTGTCATGATCCCACGGGCCCTGTTGAAATTGTCATTATATCCCCCCTGAATCAGAATCAGAATACTTTATTGAATTAGAGGATGACTGCAGTATACTTACAGCTCACCTGGACCTGCATTTATGCAAACATTAGGGCTGCTTAGTTTAATTAGTTAAATCAGTTATTTTGGTCAATTATTGTGTGTCTATTTAAAAAAATCATGCATTTTAAAGGTAGTTACTGCCATGATAGTAACAAATTTCTAATATATTTAGAAATCTTTTTTTAATAATTTGATGTTGTGCTTCCATTAACCTTATCCATGGTCAGATTTATTTGCCTGCTCTAATCTCTTATATGTGGGTGCACTTGATGTGTGTCTTTGTATAACAGGAGTGGACTTATTAACCTGCACAGAGTTGATCACCTCACTTGATTTGATGCCTTCATGGGCCTTAAGGTTTAAAGCTTCAGCTGAAACAGCTCACATTTTCTTCTTCTTTTGGCTGTTCCCTTTATGGGTCACCACAGATGATTATCTCACCCTATCTCCAACACGCTCTTCTATCACACCAACCCTCTGCATGTCCTCCTTCACTCTATTACTCTTCTCCATGGTCTTTCTTTTTTCCTTACTTCAAGGCAGATCCATCTTCAGCATCCTTTGTCCAACATGTCCAAAAGATCTCAGCCTTGCCTCTCTGATTTTGTCTTCAAAGTGCTCAACCTGAACTGTCCCTCTGATAGACTCATTTCTAATCCTGCTCATTCCTATCACTTCCAGCAACCATCTTAACATCTTAAACCATCCCACTCCAAGTCTTCTCAAAGAACACAACTTGGATCAAGTAACTGATGCTTCCAGTGAAGAGCCGCAGTGGGAAATGATGGACCCTGAGGTGTCTGTGCTGCTGCACTGTGCACACTGGCATGGGCTGCTCGAGTCTCAAGTACAAGTGGAGCTTTCAGAAAGGTGCAAACATACAGTGCAGTACATCCTTTAAATACTTTTCATCACACGTCATGTAAAATCAATTCCTCCTCTCTCAGGTTTAACAGGCAGACAGATCTGGCTCTGGAGCGTCACATAGATGAGGTGTGGACGAAGCGGGTGTCCAAGGAGCCGTGGCTTTTCAACGGGGCAAAATTCAGGCTACATTCTTTCTGCTTAGCAGATCCACAAAATCCACCTTCCACTCCGTTGTCCCATGGCACCATTTTCCACCACACAGAGGACCAAAACAATCAAGGACAGAGGGATTTGGGTGAAATACATAACAGGTGTATAAGTCAGACAGAAAATGCTGAGGGTGCCTCTAATCATGACTACAGAGAGTTTAATGGCATTGCAGACAAACTTCCTCCACACCCTGCACCCCTCCTCACTCTGAGGTTAGGCCTCACGTGCTACAAGGACTACCTGGGGACAAACTGGTCGTGTGGGGTGGCCAAGCTGCGACAGCGTGGTGAGGCCGAGTTCGGAGATCCTCTGACGCTGCTGGCTCAGCCTCTAGGTGTCGGTGCCATACTGTGCACCAGCAATGGTCAGGTGGTCATGATCAGGAGGAGCCAAAAGGTGGCAGAGGCGGGAGGGCTCCTGGATATCCCCGGAGGCCACCCAGAGCCAAAGGTGATATGAATAAAGAGGATTCAGTCTCACCAAAATGCTTGATGTGTTGCTCATATCAACCCTGTTGTCCTCAGGCTGTGTGTGAGCGTCTAGGACAGAGGGTGTGTGAGGAGCAGATCGGCATAGCCATGATGGAGAGGAAGCCAGAGACCATCGTCTCAGAGCTTTTCTCCTCTGTGTGCGCCGAGATCAGAGATGAGGTGAAAAGTCATTCCTTTTCTGTTTGTATTCTTTTTATTCAGAATTGTAATGTCGTGTTTCACGTTTATGCACGTATACTTACCGCCAGAAGCCTGCTAGCAACTCTTTTTAAAGAGTCTAAATGGTGTCAGCAGATTTCCTTCAGTGAAATACCTCAAAATCAGAATTCTTGTTCAGTCATGCATGTCATAGGCCCCACAAAGTGAAACCAGCTTCCAGAAACTTGGCACCACAGTTTGACTCAGCCCTAATATTTGATCCACACATCAGAAAATTTACCAAGTTTTTTTATGAAGTGGAAAATTGTTAGGTCAGATCCTACACATGGGACCTCACGACATCACAGTGTAAAACAAGGATTTTATGCCTAAAGCAGTATTCACACAGTCACTTTTCTTTAATAAAACTTTGCACCAGCTGTTTTGTCGAAGTAATGAAAGGTCTAAAATATTAATATTATTAATTTTACTGTTCTGTCCCAGGTGAATATTCCTCTGAGCTCCCTAGGACCGCCCGTCCTGATGGGCGTCGCTCTGAATCACACCAGCGCTGGAAGACCGAGTGCCGAGTTTTACGTCAGGTAGTCGTCGCTTCAGTTTTAATCCATACTGTGAAACCTGCAGCACAGATTTCTTGAAGTAGGTGTGTCAGTGAAAGTTGCTCAGAAAATGAAAGTATGGCAAAAAAATTTATAAAGATAAAATCATCACGATGACCACATCTCCACTACTAAAGACTGCGTAGTTTTCCATGTGGACTATTGAAGTAGCTTTGTATGAGTCACAGTTCAAAATAATCCCCTGCAACCTTTTTCTGATTGGCTGCCTCTGGTAAACAGAACATGAGTGGGTGAGGCTTCTGGTCACAGCCAGAGTGAGATGACTATATTAGGGCTACCCTCTCTCTTTGACATCATACAGACCTAGGAGTAGAAAAAAACTGCAATTTCCTGAGCTGACTGAATTAAAAGCACATTCAGGAGCACTGACTGCAAATAACTGCAATGAGGCTTAAACAAATATATATTTAGGCTGTAAGACTACATGATGTGTTATATGTATGTTTAGGGAATCTAAACCTTCTTTAAACTTTTCTTTTTATTCTTGAAATCCATTTGTAACTGGAATCTCACTCCTATTACAAATAATTCTCTTGGAGTTAAACAAGTTCAGTATTAAGAAGAAAAAACAGTTTTACTGCCCCATATAAAAGTTAGATATTTGGGCTTGAGATGAGTAAAGTTAATAGAGAGTTAAAATAGAAACAATAAAAATGCACACCAGTGAAAGACTAAAAGTAAAGGAACAGAAGTAATAATGAAGACAACTGAGAGACCATAAAAGATGACATCACATGATGGCAAGCCTATAAAAAGGTGTCATACAAAATGAAGTCCAAAGTTAAAGTTACTATTAGATTAGGTCTCAATTATCTAACCAGATTTGCCCAGCTGAGGTTAGGAAGGGCAGCATAAAGCTGCACACAATACTAAATCAAGCATCGTGAAATAATAAATGTGGTTTGAATGGCTCTATAAAGATATACATTTTAATCTGTGTGCTTTCAGTTGCTCCTTAAATTCTGATGAAGTGAGAAAGTTGTACTGGAAAGGAGGAGTGGAGGCCAGCGAGTCCACAGAGGTCGTCTTTGTCAGCAGAACGGTGAGATGTTACAGACATACAAATACCTGCAGACCAACACCAAAACGAGATTCTTGTACTTGCGTCTGCAGTAGGGAACAAAGTACAATCATCACTTTATGGAGAGATTACAAGCATATAAGGCAATTCTGCCTTTTTATATACAGTAGTGTGAAAAAGTGTTTGCTGATTTCCTATTTTTTTGTATGTTTGTCACACTTAAATGTTTCAGATCATCAAACAAATTTAAATGTTAGACAAAGACGGCACAAGTAAATGCAGTTTCTAAATAAAGATGTTTCTCGTTAAGGTGATTACATCAGAACCGGGTGTGGCTAGACAAATTGAACTCAGCTTTCCAAAGTTGTGATATACCAGTTAATTTATGATAGAACAGATATGGGGGCAATCACTATTTTCACACAGAGCCATGTAGGTTTACTTACCTTTTTGTCTAATATTTAAATTTATTTGATTATCTGGAGCATTTAAATGCAACAAAACTCCAAAACAAAACAGGAAATTAGGAAGGGGGCAAACACTTTCTCACACAGTTGTATTTTGCACACTGTAGGAAGTTTTGCAGCTGGACAGAAGCAGCCCTCTGTGGTCGGAGCTTTGTCCGTCAGCTAAAGGAGCCGTGCTGCTTTATCAGACTGTTAAACCTGACGTAGTTCCAGACCAACGCGGACGAGGCGATGCCAAGTTGACACCACCACATGTGCACAAAGAAACAGACTGATTAAAGTTTGGGGTTTTATTTACAAGTTACTGATAATTCAGTACTGTGTAATTCATTTATACACTGTACAGCAAGAACAAGTAAAAATGTATTAAAATATTTTGAATAAAAACCTAAAGTGTCCATGTCTTTTCATAAAAGATAAAATATGACACTGATTATGTTTGAGCAGGGAGTGTGCAGTTCCATATAATAAAACCTCAGCAGTGTTGGTGTTATGTAATCACTGGTAATGCAGCAGCATTATTCGAGTCCTCTTGCTCCAGGTTCGCTCATGAGTAGTTCTGGTACGCGCTGTAGTAATACCCCTGATCCTGATAAGGCACGCTCCACTGAAATGTGAATGACACAAAATTAATTTAACATCTAGCAAATGCAGCTGTGCTTTTAGAGAGAAATGAGCCAGGTTGGCACTCACGTATCTTGGCGGCTGACTCCATGTCCTGTGAGAGGATGGAGGACCGTGAGGGTGGGGTCTTTTCCTGTAAAGTCGCCGTGTCTTCTCATGTTTGGGGACGGGGGGTAGCAGTCTGCGGGCCTCATCTTTATACTCCTGCAGGAGCTTTAGCGCCTTTTCCTGCGGCAGCTCGACATACTGCAACTCCTCCAGGAGGTCATCCTGCTGCTCTGGAAGACTGCAGCTCACTGGACAGAGAGAGGAAAGTATTACAGGAATGACTGCTGTTTATTTTAACTGTCAGCAGCACCAGCTGTAAAGATCTTTTATAAACTCTGTGGCTCCCAGCACATCTGAGACCTTAAATGATATCAATAAACCGAGTAATGAGAGGAAGAACCTTTCTTTCTGAAGGATTCACGGATTTAACCAAGAAGAATCTGAACCCATTCCTCAGTGTAAATTTACAGGGATTACTGTAGAGACCAAATGGAACATATGAAACAAATTCATGTTTTGTTTCTGATCCCCTAATATAGACCTGTAATGGAACATAATATTACAAATGTAGGTAAACCTTGTAATTTGAGCAGGGCGGTCTCTGGGATGTGTTCACCGTCTCTCATCTGGTGCTGCGACAGTCGCCTTTTCCACTCGTCGCCTGAGGGAAACACCACCACCACCCGACGCCTGAAGCCTGTGAACAGCCGCAGCTTGTGACGGAGTGCAGAGAAGAGGATGTTGCACTGGAAACAGAAAGATGAAGTGAAATAACTACTAAGACTACAGCATAGTGAAATGTTTTGTCGAAGCTCTTTGCTCATAACTGTGGTGGTTACAGTTTAGATTTTATTCCACATATAACTGCTTTAAAGTAAATATTTAATTATTAATAGGACCAAGAAATAATCCCAAACTCCAGACTGCCGAGGCCCGATTTGAAACCAGAAAATCTTCTGCTGCTCATCCAAACCTCTATCACATGAGCCTAAATGAACCAGTTCACTTTGGTCTCCTGACACTTTGCTTGCAGAGGCTGATTCTCCAATAACGGCTTTTGTTCTACCACCTGATAGCAACTACTATCCTTCAGTGAGTTTCACAAGGGGACATCTCATAAGTCTTTTTTTTTTTTGACCGTGAAGCATTACCTGGTCTAGGATGTAGTTTCCAGGAGTTTGGGCAGCCATCTTGATTATTTCAGTAAGACCGTGAGAGGCCTGCTGGAGCCTGCTGTCCCTCTGCCCACCACTCTATACACACACATACACACGGGTCAAACATTTTACATCAGGTGCGAACCATAACCTCTGAATGTGAATCACAGGAGTGAAGAGCGGAGATCTGACTGACAATCATACAAGCGAGCAGCTCCTCCGTTCCCAGCAGTCTGTGCTGTTTCTCTGGATGCTGCTTCATGTAATTCCTCGCCCAGACGCTCTTCCCAGAGGCAGGAAGACCCACCATCAGCACCACCTGGTGGAGCAGAGAGGAAGATAAGACATAACAAAATTGACATGTCAACTGTCAGAAAATTAAATTTTGCACAAACATTCATGGCTCCCATAGGATGATCCTAATGACTCAGGTGATCACTGCTGTAACACTAAACGTTGTCGTTCTGCCATTTTCCCCCCCTGCTTACATCCTCCACTCCCAACAATTTTCCACCTTAGGAGCATTTTCTATGGCTAAAATGCTCCGTGTGCAAGATCATCTGAACTTTGTTTAGTTCAAACTTTCAGAGGAAATTCTTAGAAAACATTACAATTCATCTTCACACTACAATTTCAACTTTAGGAGGAGCCTTTAGTAGTAGAAAGATTGGGAATACAAATCTAAATTTGACTCTCACTTCGCACTGTGCTCTGGAGGTTGGAGCTGATGTGGAGCACACCCTTTGCCCAGGAGGAAGAGTGGCCAACGGTGTGAACCCCGGAGGGCCGGGGTACCAGGGTTGAGCTGCAGGGTCCAGGAGCAATTTGAACGAACAGCTCTTACAGAGGACATGAGGGAACAGAGCACGACCCCGTAGCACCGAGGTGTCCGTGGAAAAGGCCACTCCTACAAAACGACCATTTTTATGGAAAGAGAGCTCGACAGCGCCATCTGAGGAGAAAGACTGGGTGTGTGCAGGTGTGAACATGACACACAAACACAAAAAAATGGTTTAAATGAGAGAAAAGTCACTCGAGCGCTAGTAAAGCTGACTGAAAACATAACTCACAGCATAACAGCCGATGATATCCCCCTCCGAAAAAGGCTCTCCAAAGTTCTCTTCCTTTCTATCTGACACTTTTTTACCACGTCCATCATAACAAAAAGAGAGTTCATCCTCACCTGACGTGAAACCCAGAAGGATTCAGAAGCTTTTTAACAAGTAAATCACATCTACAGACAATAAATATGAAAAAAACTTCATTCTTACCCAGCAGCAGAGAGGAGACGGCCACTGACCAGCCAACTCTCAGTCCATATGGCTCCCTGACTTCATGGTCATCTGGCTGTGCAGTCAACAGTTTCCTCTCCAGCCTCACCTCAAAGCCCACCCTGCCCTGCTGCACCCCATGGGTGAGCCTGCAGCCTGACCACAGCAGGGGGAATTGAGCCCAGAACCGCGGCTGGCCAGAGGATCCATCAGGACTCACCTCGAAGTGCAGGTGAGAGCCATCTGAGTAATCGACAAGGAGACTCAGGGAGTCAAATCAAATACACCCTTGGGGGTTAGTCCAGACAAAATTAAAACAAGTAACTCATAAGAAAACTCAAGCGCTGATTAAAATTTGTGTGGGTGTGTTTTCACACATTTATCTAGTCTGACTTTATCTTCATCTTGTTCCTCTGCCTCACTCCTCTCCGCAGGGGGCTGTGGTGATTTGGCTCTGGTTGAAAAAAAAGAGACATGTCACATTTAATGATTTAAGAACTTCATTAAATCTAAATCTAAATAAAACACAAAGATAAAGATTCCTTTTATGCCGCTGTGCTATGCATTCTGCAGTGAAACTGGATCAGAGCTTATGTTTTAGCAGACGAGCATACATACATTCTTACATGCGTTCACTCATCGTTCATTGCACAGAATAAAATAACAATAATAAAATAGGAAATATTAAAGTATAAATACACATAAATACAGTAAAAATAAAATGCTAATCTGGCCTTAAGAAAAAAAAACTGCTCCATCCACACATGTATACACATAAAAAAAATCATTCAAAGTAAGGATTTAAAACATATTCCTAAACAGTGGTGCAGTAACCAGGACCACAATATTGGAAGAGCTTTAAATCCTTCTTCTCTCTTAAACTGAGAAAACCTATTTTAACATGACCTGATTAGCTCACTGAGAGCAACAGATTCCTTCACGCTCCTGTCTGAGGGAACGTTACAGGTCCTTCCTTCCTGCTGCTTTCAAACTCTTTAATTCATCCAATTGGGTCAGGCCCACACATGCAGAACAGGATTAATCACACCTCACTGCACTCTGGCACTTTTGTACGCAATGACATATATTGCACACATATTTGTGTACTTTTATGTCTATATGCATATTTATGTTTATATTTATACCTGTATCTCTATATTTATTTTAATAGTTATCAATTAATATCTCTGTTTCTACTCTTCATTTTATATGAGTGCTTGACGTTTGCTGTATGTGTGCCGCTATGAGAACTCAAGTTCCCTGTGGGATTAATAAAGTCTCTGTGATTCTGGACTTGGCCCACGCTTCGTTTGGCTGGGATTTTCCATCAGTGGATGTGGTACTAAAGAAGTGTCTTGGGTGAGAGTTTAAAAATCTTTACAAATTTTATCAAGTTCTCAAGACCAAGAGAACCTACACATATGAAACTCCACAACGAGAGCTCCACACGGTAATTACAGTATGCTGTGGACAGATGTGAGGGATTTTCACTGAACCCGATGCCCTCTGTGGGGCGGGTTTCTTCACCATACTCTACCTCTTGTATCGTATCTCCTCTTTGAACTCGTAGAACGACCTTCCTCTGCCCATGTCCTCCTCTACTGGACCCTCCGCATGCCCCTGTTCTCCTCCCTCCGCAGGGCAGGCAGTGACACCCGCAGCAGCAGCAGCCTCCGAGTCGGGCTGTGGTGCAGCTGGACTGGGCTCAGCCACAGTCTGTGTGGCCATGTCTGTGTAGCCGCGGTCTACTTCATGTCGCGCAGTAGCACCAATCTCTGAGGATGGAGGGCGGACGTCTGCTGGCTCTGTCTGTACTAAAAGTATAGGTGAGCTGTCATGTAGCTTCAGCGTTTCTTCTTCACCGTCTCCCCCGCTCGGCTCCCCCTCTGCTGCGGACCACAGCCGCTCCACCAGCTCAGCCTTCAGCCCTCTACTGTCCAGCCCCAGCTCTTTAAGTCTGGACCGCAGCTCGGCCACTTTTAACTTTTTAATGTCCGCCAGCTTCATTGTTCCCGCGCGAGTATTACGTTTATTTGTCTTTTAATTGTAAATGCGAATTATTTAAGTTTTAAAAAAGCCAAATACAAAGTAAAAACTGTAAAAGAAGAACAGGCTGGAGTCAAAACAACTGTTCAATATGGTGCCTTGGAATTTGATTGGCTCGTTACTTCTTCCTCTTTCTCATTTAAGACAGATACGTTTTGTTTACTGCCATCTAGCGAAAGAAAATGTTACTACATCAACATAACTACCGTACCAGGATTTTTGAAAAGTATTATTTTTAGTCGTATAGTTGTTTTCGGGTCAATTTAGCTTCAATTAGTTCATTTAAAAATATTTTAAATAGTTTTTTTTATTTTCAGTGGTAGTTTGTTGTGAATTGTGTTGTGTAAACACAATTCACACAACAAAACTAACTAAAGGAAACGTCTTGATGCATTCTCAGTCATCCAGGCAAGTAAATCTTGTTGAATCAAGTTGACTCTGTTCATCCGGATGAACAGAATTAACTTTTGGAGATAACTAAAGGAAATATCCTTAGTTTGTTAGTTTGGTAAAAAAGCAAAAAACAAACAAACAAACAAACAAACCGGTGCATGATGCATTGATCACCTCTAACATATGCCCTCCATACAAAAATAACTAAAGACCTAAACTAATAAAAACGATGCTAGAATTGAATATTTGTAAACACTAAAAAATAAACTGAAACAAGAAAATCCTCTCTGAAAAAACTAAATAAAAATAAAGTCTAATTGCAAAATACAAAAAATATAACTCTGGCTATTTGTCACAAGCAGATGTTCAGTGTAATTTTAACTCTATTAATAGTGGTTACTACATTATATAAACTTGAGCAGTAACACAAATAAGTATAAGGTAATATATTCAGAAGTGAATGTATTACCTTTGTGTTCCTATTGACACCCTAAAGCAAACTATGTGTTGCAGCATGAGCCCTGTTTTTATCCTGTATTTGTTTTTAATATGGAAAAAAGGTATACCAAAGGACTTAGGCATTGTTCTTGTTGTCCATGAGAAATACAACTGTGGTGGGAATGATTTTCTCAGATATCTGCAGGTCAGGAAAACATGCAAGGACAATATTTTTTTTTTCCCCACACATTTATTGGTATGTCTAAAGACAACAAGAAAAACATTCTTTCATGAATATTTCATAGACATTCTCTGTAACTTATAGAGATGGTTGTGTGACCGTCACATCATTCAACCACACTATGTTCAAAGTCACTTAAATCAAATTTCTTTCCCATTGTGATGCTCAGTTTAAACTTCAGCAGGCAATCGTGATCATATGATTAGCTGACTGGATATCTGTGTTAAAGAGCAGTTGAATCGGTGTACGTAATAAAGTGTCTGGCAGTGGCTGATTGTTGTACTGCTAGACTGCATTCTCTCTTATTGTGCATGGGATGTAAGCTGTGGTCACTGCAGCCCAACACACTTACAGTTAAATAAATGATGTAGAAAATATTTAATAGATATCCAATCTGGCACTCAACACTGTAATTAACATTGTAACCACAATAATATCAAAGTGACTAAAGCAAACAGAAGACATGTGATCAGGGTGATGGTGCTTTTGTAAATAACAAAAATGAGCAAGGTTCTCTTATAATGACTTTTTTATTTGTAAACAACAACAATGCAAAAACGCAAGTGTGAATGAGCACAAACGGTTTTCAGAGGTAAAAAGCAGGACAATGTTCAGCATACAAAAACATTTAATACATCACAAAGCCGCCTCTTTACCTCAGATTTCCACCTCTGCTGTCTGCGTGTCATTACAGCTGCTCGGGTTGACAGAAGTGCAACGACGACTTCATATCAACCCCACTGGGCTCCACATAAATCTGTCTCAAAAAGTCACAAATCAGAGTTTTCCTGCTAATTAAACTCTACGTGGATCGTCTGAGAGGATTTGACTGCTTCACTGACGGTCCGAGAGCAGCCGCCTCCACGCAAACAGCATCATGACAGAAATCGTCACAAGATGAGAGGCCGGCAGAGATTTTCCCAATACACAACAGAACATTCAGGTCATGCTCACACAGTGAGCCTGTTACACGAACACGGTGGCTCAGTCACGCTCTCGCCACATGCTTCACGATGAAAGCATCCGAATATTACACTCAGGACAATACAACGAATTCTCCCTGATGAGGACACGACTGTGCAAAATGTCGAGCTCCTGCAGAAACGCAAACAACCATGCATTGTAAATGTACTTGGAACAAACACCAGGCTGGCTGCTTGTGGTGTCATCAATGATGTGAATGAACAGTGACTCACGAAAATGCGGTGAAAAGACAAAAATAAGCAACAACACTGGTTATTGTTATAATGTGCTTCAGCTGTGAAATCCCTTTTTGTTTGAAGGCAGATAAGTTTAGTCCCACTACAGACCAACTCTGTGGACCTACAGACTGCATGTTCCTATCTTATCACTTATTAAGGAAATGTTTTTGCCCATAAATGTCTTCAATGTTGGATTTGACACAACAACTGTATTCTTCAGTAACTGGTATATTTTGAATCTATAAAATCCTTCAGTACAAACGTCCCTGACATCATTGCAAACACATTTCATCTCCAATCAAAACCTTTGATCACAAGACATTCAGCGTGCAGATCCCTTTTACTGAAATTATATTAATGCTCATAAATGAATCGGTGAATCAATAAAGTTCACGTGTTTTCAAAACTTTCAATTCCTAAAAAAAAAGAATTTTCCGTGTTATTTTAGGGTTTGTAAGCCATGATTGGGCAGCAAGTCCCTCACATTACAGCCACAGTTTGAGCAGATCCATAGAGTTGTACTCAATCCCATCACCTCAGGATTGTACTATGAAGTGAGACTAAGGTCAGAAAGCTTATGTCGAGCTTACAGTCAGAATTTATAGTGTCTCAAAAGCAGCTCTCCTTTAAACCTGGCAAAATCACAAGCTCAAAACAGCCTGTTTAGCCAAAATTAAAATGCATTACTGTCAGTTACATCCATCTGTGCATTTCTTTTTATCTTGCAAGGCAACAAGATGGAGTATAAATACCTCAAAATAACTATGACTTGTATTCTATATGTCTGCACTAAAGTGAATCCAGACAAAAAACACATTGTGTGCAGTTCCTGTTAAAATTTATGAATCACTTGTATTATTTTTAATACTGAATTTAATTTGGACTTATCTGCCAACGTTGACACTGCAGTGGGTGTTTCAACAGGTCTGAGGACCCTTTTCAAATATGTGAAAGATTTTGTATTTATTGAATTATTATAGGATTTCTTATTTCCTCTTTTTCCTGTGAATTTGTTTGTCGTATAATAAAAAAAAATAATCCAAGTGGTTAAAAGAGGTTTTAAAGATTGTGGAAAAACCTTTAAAATGCAGTAGGCATGATTTCACCGATATTAGTGATGATACTAAGCTGTTAAATAACATTAAGCCATTAAATAAGATAAATTACTTGATAATTAATATTTAAGGACAACACAGATCAGCCAATGTTTTTAAAAAGGTAACATGCATTACAGACATATCTAATTTAAGCCTGAACTCTTTCTATGGTATCTTTGGAATTTCTGTACTGCGTTCTTTTGTTGGTTGATTAATATTACACCTGATGGATTCCTTGGTCAGGCTCATGTACCGCGGAGTTGACATCATCGATCGAGACATGAACAAACTGAGTTTTAAATGTGAATACTGGAGGCTTCTTCTGTCAGTACCTCACACACTCTGGGTTAGACTAAGAGGATGGGTGTCACAGGAGGAGGCGAGGGAGAGCCGCTGTCTGATGGACTGTTTCCCAGCAGCATCTCCTTCTCCCGGTGCAGACAGGGCCCGCTGATGTGCTGGCTGTGAGAGTGGTAGAGCCGCAGGAAAGCCAGGATGGAGTGAACCAGCCACAGAGCCGTCACAAGCCACAGCGACGCCTGAGAATGAAGAGAGATGCTTACAGTCACGTATCGAAAAAACACTGAACAGACACATGGTGAAGGATAACGATGCAGAAAGCACCCAAGAAGTTTGTGAAATTCCTGTGTTTTATTATTCTGTTACTGAGTAATAATTAGCAGATATCTGTGTCTGTGCTTTGCATCTTTACAGGTTATAAATGCAGCTGCTTCAGTTGCTGAATCCATCTTTTTTATCCTTATAATGGAACGTGTGGCTCCAAAAGAACTACCATGGCAAAGGTCAAAACACCAGCATGGAAGGTTCAAAAACATGGGCCCAAAAGGCAGCAGATGACTTTTATATTTATGTGTGATCCACAAATGGTCACTTCTGCCTCCGAATGACCAACATGGCTGAGCTAAAGCAGCGCACACAGGGGAAGCAATTCATTCAACCTTTGTAGTGAGTGGATGCTTCAGACTCTGGTTGCCTAGGTAACCCTCTAATGTATATAGCACACACTCACATGTCCATCTTCCACTCTCATTTTATGCCATTTTTAACAATACATCAGTGAAACAACAGTTATCATCTCAGTATAACGACTGTCAGCAAATTCTTGGAGGTAGATTGGTGAAACTATGGGACCGGAGCTGAGAGAAATGTACAAACAAGTAGAAAAACTGAGTTAAGATCCAGCCTATTGTTTCGATCATTTAAAACTCCGGGACAAAGATTCACAGGAGAAATCTAAAAATCAACAATGCGGCTCCAGAAATGTGGAAGTCCAAAAATCAATTTGTAAAAACATACAGTCTGTGTCTTTAACAAACACCACTTCCTGTGAGACTTTTGATTTCAGGGACGAGTCGATAGTTCACTGTGACGACAGCAGGAGAGATGAGGGGACGCCGTTTTTAGACGGGACAGATTAGAACTGGAAAAACTGAAAAATGACCGTAGCCGAGAGCGTCACCGTGTCTCATCAATATGAGTCGGTTTGTTGCGGGAGTGAACCTCGCACACTCGTTTCATTGTTTCCAAAAGACAGATTAGATCAATCCTGCCCAGGACACTGAATGGAGCTGCAGAAGCTGCTAGAACGGAGGCTGACATCAGCTCTTGTGTCGATCAATGATGTTTTGTAACAAAAACACAAAGCACTGACAACATCAAAGAAACTCCTAAATGCATGCTTTTAATTCCTGGATAAATCTGCAAAACAGACAAGCTTCAGACGAACATGATGCCAAACAAAAGTGGTTTCTTCTGACAGAGTAAACCTGCTTTCCTGTTTTACGTGTCTGCTTTCCTAAAATATCAAATCTGTGACAAAAGATCTGTTTCCATTAGAAACTGCTCACACAACATCACTGCAGCTGACACAGAGTCAGACAGAAGGGTGGAAAAAAAACACTGAAATGAGTGACTACAGTGATGTGATCAGGAATAATGTTTACATACAAAACATCCTGTATTTAAGTGCAAAATGGGGATAAATCTGTAAATACCACTGCAGCTGCTACACTGATGGGAGCTCATGCTGTTATTTTAAAATGTTCAGCTATTAATCAATTACTGTGTTATAGGACTAATGGCCAGCGGGGAGGTCTTTATCAGTTGGAACGTTTTTTTAACCTTGTGAAAAATACAGTTAATTTGGCCAGTGGGTCAGATTAGAATCTTTGCTGGGCTGATTCAGTCCACTAGGCCTTACATTTGACACTCCTGTTCTCTAATTTGACATGTTAAATTAGCTCGTTGTGATCATTTTAATGTTACTTAAGTTATCTGTCTAGTATATGAACTGTTAAATAATTATTTTCTTTTTTCTTCATCGTGCTCTACCTCCTTCAGCCTTTAAGAAAAGCATACAGCCGAACTGTGAAGCTCTTGTTTCAGAGGCCTGGGAGCAATTCAGTGTCCCTTTTGCGTTCTGGTGAGCACAACATTTTGTGTTGGCTTGTATTTGAGCATTCCTACCTGCGCCAGACTGAGCTCTGTGAAGAAAGATGAAGTGTCCACATCCAGACTGGGACTCTGCACAGCTGAACACAAAACAAACAAGAAGAAAAGGACCTCCAGATACACTCAAACAAGATGACAGCTACACACACGATTTAAAACACACATTTTAACGTCAACCCTGAATCATTTTCTTTTTAAAATCACACATGGAGCAACAAAAGAAAAGTCTGGAAATGTGCAGGCCTCTCGATGTCAAACTGAGCAGGCATCCATCCACAACACCAAAGGGGCGTCTGCGTTAGATGTACCTGAATGGCTGTGTGTCGTTTTCTGTCACAACGTCGCACCAGGAGCTGAGTCCTAGTGACAAGATGACACTGGCTCCTCCAGACAGGAAGAACACGCACACGCTCAGCAGGACCGTGAGGAAGGACGAAAACAGAGTGCTGGGCAGAAACAGAGAGAGAGAGATGGCCATCAGACACACAGAGAGCTGAGGCTTAAGGCCAACGTTGGAGCAAATGCACGATTAATTTATAATATCAACTGCAGCTACATCCCCTCTTTCTGCTGCTTCAGTTATCACAGTAATGTTTTTATTTCTACAGATTTCCTCAACAGATACAGACGAACAGTATATACAGTACTGTACAAAAGTCTTGAAACACCCCTCATCGCTTTACATTGTACAAGTAAATTGGGAAATGGATAAAGCTATTTATGGAAACATCGGTAAACATACATGGAAATACAGTATATAAGCCAAAAACCATACAATCTGAACAAGCTTGTAAGTCAACCAGGACAACCTTAACTCTCTTTCAGTAGTCTTAAAATTACATCTGCTGTAAAAGTAACACAGCATTTCAGAAAAGGAACATCATACCAACAGTAAAATACGGTGGTATTGTGGTGGTTTGCAGCTGTTTTGCAACAGAACAATGTTAGCAAAACTCTCTGAACTTAAATCGTAAGAAATAAATGTGTAGTTCTGTTAGCTCCTTGTCCATTTTCCTTTACTGTGGATCCACTGTAAAATTTAATCTAATAAAATTGAATTGTTTATTACTTATTCACACTGGTCTAGTAACCCAGGGGCTAGGCCTTTATCATTGGGAAAAGCTATAAAACGTATGAAAACAAAGCTAAATGTCCAAAATTTATGCCAAACTTCACATTATGCAAAGCTGTCCAGAGGGCCATACTGGAGTCTCTGCCTGGCCAAATACCACCCACGGGCCTTATGTTTGACACCCCTGCTATGACTACTGTGATAACTGCAGTTTGTTTTTGTAGGTCACGTGACCCACAGGTTTGGTTTAGAAAGGCCCAGCAGCTGGTTGACATCAGGGGCCTGAGCATGACTCAGAGGTGTGTCAAACCCGCACCTCCGGGGTCAGAACCGGCCGGCAGAAGGTCCACTTTGGCCCACCTGATGAAAAGTGTGAAAGTTGCAGCTGAGACCTTGTTTATTTTTTTCCTTTGATTTAAGGTAGGTGATGCTCCTGGTGTGGAGAGGAAGTACCAGCATTTCTACACTGAAACGGTCAGAATTTTTTTTTTTACATGTAGGCAAGCTGATTCATAAAGACCTAAAATACTGTTGTTTTTTTGTTGTTGTTGTTTAGGTAAACTTGTTATTCTTTAGAGTTCTCAAAGTGTTTCTTTCTTTTCCTGTTTCATTACACTACACCTCTTTTTTTTGGGGGGGGGGGGGGGGGGGTCAAAAAACATCACTAGAATAAAGGATGCAGATATATTCAGACCATTTCCTCCTCTCCTTAACATGGCTGACAGCCTTCTGTGCTGATGGATACACTGACTGATCATCCACACCACGTGACTGCGTCCGTTTCTGCATGCATCCGTATATGTATGCCTTCATCTATTTTGATGCGTTTGCAGGATCCCCAAGTACCACCGGGTCTACAGTGGCACCATGCTGCATTATCTTTCTGCAGAGCATAACCAAATGTAGGTCACTAGTGCTTGTACCCGCCCTTCTCCGTGTTTTGAGACGTATGGAGGGGTGGGTGTGTGGTGCAGGGAGACTCACTCGTAATGTTTTTTGTGCAGATAGAAGAGGCACCTCCAGCCCTACGCAACCACGTACATCACGGTGAAAATGCCCATAAAAGTGGCAAACTGGCGGCCCCCAGTGCTGCACCACCAGGTGATCCACGACTCTCATCGTGCCAGTCGGCTCCACCCGCTTATTCATCCACCAGTATCCACTGGAAAAGAGGGCGCAGCGGCCTTTGAAAGCGGAACCGTTCAGAGCCATCGGGACCACCACCAGCAAGCCCGCCGCTACCGAGAGGGCGTGAGCCGTGCAGTGCGCCAGCAGTAGTCGCCGGTCCAGCTCCATGACGCAGCACGAACACCAGATACACGGTTAGAGTACCCACGCTGAAAGAAGCAGATATCAGCACATCCCACTGTCTGTCTGCTGTACTGACCCCGTTACGGGTATTTAAAGGAGCAGGGCGGGGACCGAGCCGTCGCTCCCACCGTTACACAACCCGCACGTACTGCCAGAGAGGAGGGGGACACTCAGAGGGCTCACTCCGCCAAAAAAATCCAGGAACCAAGCAAGAGAAAACGCATCGCTGTAATCATGCCTGCATTTCAGCACAAACACTGAATGCAAAGCTGCTGCTGTTCTTTCTTATCTTAAAAAAAATACTTTTTTTTTCTTTATTCTTTCTGCCTGTCAATTCCGCTTCGCCATTTTACACACGCACTTGTTCATATAGAAACCTAAATAGCTATAGAGATAGATAGATATAGAGCTCGTCCTGGACAAGCAAAGATGTTTGGCATTTAACTCCTGATTCGGATTCTCGCAAGATCTACTAGACATGACGGGTATTTAAACAATTACACAAAATAAAATTATCAGAAATAAGGAGGCACACATTATTATCATTTCCACCTCCACGTTTCTATTCTTGGACTCTGCTTTGCATGACTCACTGTTTGACATAGGTCCTATCCTTGATTTAAGGTCACCCTCCCTTTAAACCAACTTTTTTAATGATTGACTGTCTGCCTCTAACACAATCATATCCATATCATATTATATAGCCAAAAGTAGAAAAAATTGTCACAAACTGTGTTTAGACCTGAGCTTTTGGCTCACATGAACTAACCCAGAGAAATTTGAATAATTAGTTTGAATGCTTGTATTGAGACGCTATTTTTATTCAGTTCATTTTTTGCGGGTTATCTCCTTCAACTTAGAAAAACATTCAAGCACCATTAGAGTTCTCATCTTTTAGACATGTGTGCTTCTATTTTTGTTATTTATAACTTCTTCTTCTTCTTTTTTTTAAATTGTCAACTTTATTCAGGGGAAATTTATAAAATATTTCAATGGGGAGACTCTTCAAATTCTCATTCAACGTACTCCTCTTTCAACTCTAACTACTTCCACATAAGTGAACCAACAGACACCATTCAAACTTTAAAACTTCATTGGGAAGAATGTCAGGCATTGGTGGAGTTTCAGAAGGGGGTTTAAAGATCTAGAAAATGTGGGGTTTTTTGCTACATCGGCAATTGTAGTGAGCATCACTGGTGTAAAGTTTGCAACGTTAGTGAGCAGAATTTCAGGTGAATATTTCTCTCTGATCTCCCGGCTTTCCATTGCTGTGATAGTTTTGGAGACTCGATCCAAAGTGGCCTTTGTGACACTGGTGAAGAGTATGCTCATACAGTATGCTTAGGCCATGTTTAAGAAGAGGCGAGGAGGAAGCTCCCAGAAGCCCTGCAGGATGTGGGGAACTGCCTCTATCACCACATCCTGTGCGGTGAGCAGTTTGAAGCTATGCTCTACCTGCTGGGTGTTCTATGAATAAAGTTATGAGAATGATCCTTTAAACATATATATTGAAAGACTATAGCTGAACTGTCAACAATTGTATGTCAGATGTGACTCACTGAAATTTAGGAGGTTTGGCAGTTTAAGGAGCATCTGGGCTTGAAACTCTATGTCCCTCCTTTTATTAATGACATTCACTGCCCACACCTGAAACAGAAAAGTCATTTACGTTGCAGATTTTTTAAGATGTTACGTGAACATAATGAAAAAAGAAATCTCCAAATTACTACAAGTCTTGTGAGTTTTCTAGTCTTACCAGTGTCAAAAGAGAATTGGCTTCTTTTAAAAATCCTTCAATTCAAACTCCCAAAGCCTTCAAAAGAAAACCAAACAGAGGATTTCTCTCAGCACTTAGACTTCATCACAAACAGACTTAAAGGTGTGAGGTGGACGGTCCGTAGGTGTCACAGCAACTCACTGCTCTGTGAGCGTCTGTCTGCACTTTGACTTATAGGTGAATGATTCGGTGTATTTCAGTTAAATATTTCAGCAATTACAGGATTTCAGCTAAAAGAAATGATCACATATCAGCGTTCACACTGCATTTTATTCAGAAAATGCATTGTTTTAAGTTGTCATTCACTGGAGTAATTGATTTGTAGTTAACCTCGTGTAACATGGTGATCTCATCCAATATGATCCTGATATCTAAATCTTAAGAGAGATGATTCACCCATTATTAGTATGCTTGTGTACAATGCATTTAGTTTTTTTTGTTTGTGTCTTTGTTTGTTTTTTTTACATTATGCATAGTTTAAAAAGAAAGGAGAAATCAATGGCTCCTTGCTCTCTCTATATTTAATGGCATCTAAAAGCCTGAATCCACAAAAAAATAGACTGACAAAGTTGATCATTTTGGCTGCAGATTACTATAATGAGATAAAAGTACAATTGTGTGACCAATATATGAACCAATATGAACCAGAATTTGAAAACAAACAAATAAACAACAACAACAATTTTAAAATAGGTGGGGGATTTCTTTAATAGCAGTATGATTAAACAAAACCTATTACAAATGGGGTAAATAAATAGAATGTACATGACTTAAATTAAATGAAACAAGTAAAAATAAAAGAATAAAAAGAATAAAAGCAAAACAAGCACAATTTAAATACATCTTTTTATTATATCATAAAAAGACTTTAACTTGGCTTTCTTTATGTATTCAAACGGCACAACAGATATCTAATGACATTAAAGTATCTCAGTAATAACATAGTGCGGTAAACTGGATTAGTGATTTTCTCAGATTACTGGCAGCCTCGATCTAATTATCATAACACAAAGGTTCAAAAAGCAGCAGCCACAGTCGATATGACAACAGGAGTGAGACATCTAATGGATAAACGATCTGCAAATTTGTGGCTCAGTGACGAAAGAGGGCGACGTCATCCGTTTGATCCCTTTAAATCAGATGGCGAATAAGAGGCTGTAACGATCACCCTGCAGAGGGAATGATCTTTCTGGTTTATCTGTCAGATGTGTGATCGATGAGCTCATCGGCGGATATTTCGGGCTCTGCGCAGAAATCCTCATTAAATAACACCACATGTGTGACGATGTAAGTCGTCTTTGAACTTTACTTTAGACTTGTAAATTTGGAGTTTTTATTTTTGCTTTCTGTAGCTCCTGCTGAGTGATTATGTAAGACTAATTAGCTCAAGGGAGATGAACATTTTTCAGTGTTGGAAGTAAGTCATGCCGATTTCATTGCAAACACCACAGGAATGCAATTTACTGCGCATAAAGAAGCTGGTGAGATAAGACAGCAGCGGTGTTGTGGGTTTAGAGAGGGATTCACTGTATCTTACACGTCTTTTAAATGCCCCCACAGGGGTCCAAACTGGATGCTTCAGTCTGGCAGAGGGGAATGTGGGGTGGGGCCGGTGACATTCCTCTCCTCTGTACAAGCCCCGCTGCCTCAGATTGCTGATAAACCAAAGCATATTTTCCTAAAATTAGCTCAAGTTATGTCGAGAAGGCTTCAGTTTCACACCAACTAAGAGCAGAAGATTAAAGCAGAACCAAAAACAACTGAGAGAATCTACAAAGAAAAGGCAGGGGTAACACGTTAGATTTTGTTGTTGTCAATTTAATGACTACAAGAGCACCTAAAAAAATAAGGAAGACAAAAACTTAATTCTTGCACTCTTCCAACTTTTACTGCACATCAGCCCATAATTGAAACTGTAAACCACAAATGCACTAGTATATTGCCTAATATAACAAATTATAATATAATATGATATGATATAATATAATATAATATAATATAACAAATAAACCATCAAAGGAATATCAGTGAAGGAAACTGTTTCCAGGGCCTACTCCGTGGATCGGCTTCCTCCGAGGCGTGGACGTCTATCAGCAGAGAATGTACCTTCACCTATCAGCAGAGAATGTCCCTTAGTCTGTAACACAGTCAAATATATTCTCAAGTAATATTCAAGCATGCCATTCAGCGTGTTAGTACGAGCTCGGGAGCAGCTTGGGAGAACAAGAAAACAGAGACTGCTTTAGATTGTCTTCCCAAAGTGACTCAACTTTATTCACAAGTACAACAGTTTATATAGAGGGTAAAATTCATGAGACAGCAGATTATCAGTTTAAACCAGTACAGACCAAGATAAGGCAGCGTCTTCCTGCCCTTGGGTGAAGAAGCATCCTTTGTGTAGTTTATTAGTTCAGCTACAATTGTGATTATCTCAGCGACATATTTTCAAGGCACAAAACGAAGAGTTCTTACATTAGTGAAATCTGAAACAAACCATTTGGCCTTCAACAGGCGTCTAAAAGATTAAGAAACTAATGTAGCTGAGGGAGTGATCTCTGTGGTATTTCAACCTTGTACCAGCCTGTGATTCTCACACATCAATTCTTGGGTCAAAGAGAAAAACACTGAAACAAAGGGGCCTTATTGAATGACAGAGTTTTCCTGCATAATGTCACTATAAAACAATATCCAGTAAATGCTACCATGGTACTAAAATACCTAACAGTTCCACTCTTTTTTTATTATTATTTTTAAAAAAAAATAATAACTCAAATAGAAAGGAAAAATCACAAATGTAATAATATAATATAAAAAGCAAATCATAAAATGTAATAGTTCACAACCTAATGTTCAACATACACATCAGGAACATCATTGGTAACATCTGGCACATCCTCAGGATCAATTTGTGCTAATTGCAAATACATTGAAGTAGCTGTACTAGTGCTTATGGAGCATGAGGTATTGTCAGAAAATGTGGCTTGCAGAAATGTGAACAGAGTTGCACTTTACAATACGAAATAGTAAATAAAAATCCTAAGGTTAATGCAGTAGATATGATTAATAACCTAAATATATAAAAAAGACAGTTCTTTAGTCGTCTCCTGGCCTGGTCCCAAGTTCGAGAGACACCGTATAAGCGTCGTGTGATGACAATGGGCATTTCATTTTCTCCATTATCAGGATGAAACAGTCTATCTTTATCAGGTTAGACATTGTGTGGTACTCTAGGCTTTCTGTTCCTGCTGGATGTTCGAGTACCTTGTTGTTGTTCAGGCGGGGATCAGAGGGCTTTCTGAGTCTTGGCTCTTTCAGGCGTTGTGTGTTAATCAGTGATTGTGTGTGTGTAGGTGGATTGGATCCGGGCGCTGGCTCGCCTGAGTCGTCATCTATAGGTGTATTGAATCCGGGCGCTGGCTCGCCTGAGTCGTCATCTACTTGATCCGACGCCTTAGGTGGTTTGGTGGGGCTGGTCTTAACCCTGCTGGCATGAATCCACTGAGGTTGTCCGTCTGTTAGGATGCTGGTTCTCGTCACTGCAAGTACAGTCTGGGGGCTGGAACACGCGGCCTCCCCGAGTGCCCTTGGTTTTAGCGACTGTACCAACACCGCATCTCCTGGTTTCCACGGATGGGTTGGATCTATGGAAGGGAGAGGCTGAGAGAGACAAACTTTCTGATAGTTATTATTCAGTGTTTCTACCAGGTTATGAACATAGTCAGACAATGCAGTGTCTATGTCCCCTTCCAATAGCGGTGCCCCTCTGGAGGCTGACCATGGTGTTGGAAACGGTCTTCCCATGATTATTTCAAATGGAGATAATTTGGTTGCTGCGGATGGAGTCATTCTAATCTCGCAGAGGATTTGAGGAAGTAGTTTGATCCAGGTCATTCCTGTTTCTATCATTGCTTTAGTCAGGCGATTTTTTATGGTCCTATTCATTCTTTCTACAACTCCTGAACTCTGAGGATGGTATGGCACATGATATTTCCAGTCTATTGCTAGAGTTTTAGCACACTTTTGAATTACTTCTGATGTGAATGAAGGTCCTCTATCACTGTTAATTTGGTGAGGTATTCCAAATCTGGGTATTATTTCATTGCACAACTTTTGACAGACTACTTCTGCAGTTTCTTTTGATGTTGGGTAAGCTTCTACCCATTTACTAAATTGGTCCACTATTACCAGTAAGTACTTGATGCTTCCTTGTGCTGGCATGTGTGTAAAATCAATTTGTAATGTATGAAATGGGAAATCTGGTTGTGGTAAATGCTGATGTTTTGCTTTTGGTTTTCCTACATTAGTTCGTGCACATGTTAGACAGGTTGCTAATATGCGTTTTACTGCGTGTGATGTTTTCTTGATTACAAATCTTGATTTTATTGCTCCTATTACCCCTCTTTGTCCGACATGACTCACACCGTGAAAATGGCGGACAAGGATTGGCAGTAGTGAAGATGGGAGGGCAATCAAACCCTCAAGGTTTTTGTATAAGCCGTCTCTGTTATCTAAGGTACAATCATTACTTTCCCAGTAAGTGTAATCTAAGGCAGAGGCTTGCTCTTGCATGAATTTTAGGTCAACATTTGTTTCTAAATAGTCTGGGAGCGTGACAAGTGGCAGCTGTAAAGGCAAAGATAATACTTCCCTTCTGGGTGGTTGCTGTGAGGCAGCAGCTGCTTTCGCGGTTACGTCTGCAAGAGCATTTCCCACTGCTTCGTCTGTGTCAGCCGTGCTGTGCCCCTTCGTTTTAACAACTGCAATTGCCGATGGCAGCTGTATAGCCTGCAAAAGTCTTTGAACAAGGTCAGAATTAGCGATCGGTTTTCCATCAGCAGATCTAAATCCTCTTTGTCTCCACAATGTGCCAAAGTCATGCACCACACCGAATGCATAACGGCTATCAGTGTAAATTGTTACCCGCTTATCCACATGTAACTCACAGGCGCGTATTAAAGCCATGAGCTCTGCTTTTTGTGCTGAGTGAAATGGTAATGAGTGAGCCTCTAGTATGATGTCAGGCAATGTCACCACCGAATAGCCACAAAGAAATAAGTTGTCATTTGGTTTTGAACAGGACCCGTCCACATAAACAATGACTGAGTCTGGGATTGGTGTCTGCTCTAAGTCTGGGCGTGGTGCTGTGGATTCCTGTATACGTGTCATACAATCATGAACGTCAGGGTCGTCTGAACCATCCTGTCGGTCAGAAGAACACAGCATACGAATAAGTAAGTGTGCTGGCGAATTGGGTGTGCTGCTTGCTTTTATAGTGAGATTTGCTGTTGAAGTCAGTGTAGCTTCATAACCTGAGTGACGTTGTGCGGTCATGTGTTGTGTAGTTATGTTTGCTAGAATGGTCGTGACCTGGTGATTGGTGTGTAGAATAGTGTCATGTGAGAGTGTGAGCTTCTCGCAGTCCCTTATCATGATAGAGCAAGCTGCTACTGCTCTCAGGCAGGCCGGCATCCCCTGAACTACTGCTGGCAGCACCTTTGAGTAGAAGGCTACTGGACGGTAGCCACAGCCATGCTCTTGGGCCAATACACCTGCACAGGTTGTGCCGTTCTCTGTGACGTACAGGTGGAACGGTAAGTGGTAGTCAGGCAGACCCAAACAAGGGGCGGAGGTCAGCGCTCCCTGTAATGCATTGAAAGAGGCAGTCATTTCTGTGGACCACAGTATTCGAGGAGGCTTGTCTTTTTTGCAGCATTCACGCAGAATGTGGTCATGAAAAGAACAGTCTGGTATCCACTGTCTGCAATAGTTCACCATGCCTAGGAAAGACAGCATTTCTTTCTGTGTAGTGGGCTTAGGGACAGAGGTCACAGCTTTGACCCTGTCTGTAGTCATAGAACGTTGTCCGTGAGACAGTGTAAATCCCAAATATTGAACAGAAGTCTGACAGTACTGCATTTTCTTTGCTGATGCTTTGTGGCCAGTCTGTTGGAGGTGCTGGAGTAGCATGTGTGTGGCAGTTTGACATAGTTTTTCACTTCAGCACAGAGGAGGAGATCATCTACATACTGGATCAGAGTACAGCCCTCTGGAGGAGTGAAGCCGTCCAGGGTAGCACGTACTACCATTGAGAAAGCCGCAGGGCTGTCTACCATGCCTTGGGGTAAGCGAGTCCATGTGTACTGCTTATCTCTATGTGTAAAAGCAAATATCGGCTGTGTGTCTTTATGCACAGGCACTGAGAAAAAGGCGGAGCACAAATCCACCACAGTAAAATGTGTAGCTGTTGCTGGAATAGATGTCAGTATGCTGGGAACATCTGGAACCAGAGGTGGCAGAGGCATGATGACTGCATTAACTTGCCTTAAGTCTTGTGTGAAACGCCATACGCCAGGTTTGTTAGGCTTTGGCACAGGATTGACAGGAGTGTTATATGGAGATACTGTGGGCTTTATTACTCCAGCTGTCAATAAATCTCCTATGATGATGTCTAAGGCTGCGGCTTTTTCAGCGGAAATGGGATATTGCTTGACATATACCGGCTTGTTGTTTTTCAGCTGAGCATGATAAGGTGTACAGTCAATAAATCCTACATCATTCTCACCTCTTGACCATAATGTCATGTTTTGATATTCAGCTGGCAATGTGACAGCAGAGATAGTACAGTGTATGGGGTAGGTTAGATCTATGTGTTGACATGGTGCAGTGATGTCATAGCCTATGTCTGAGTTATTGACAAAACCACTGTTTGGCCTTCACTGGTGTGAGCAGTTATCATGTTGTTGAACAGTGTGAGAGAAACAAATATGTGGCTTTCCAGGCATGGGGCTACCTGGTAACGGTGTCTGTACACGTGTTTGCACAGTGTGTGACGTGGGATACCAGTCAGATGGATATTGAGTTCATTCTCCGCTGAGGCGTCCAGCTGACACAGAGGCTGTTCCTTCTCCATGGTGTCGGTGCATAGGGCAGAGAAAACATAGCTGTTATCAGTATCTGCAAACATTTCACCCTTTGTGTTAAATGAAATACACAAGTTCATTTTTGCCATTAAATCTCTGCCTAATAGATTCACAGGCGAGTTTGGAATAATTATGAATGGATGATATGTAATTTCATCTGGTTTTGGGCCCCAGCGTGTTTTTAGAGAATGAGTTTTGGGGCATTGCACTAGAGTTCCGTTTATTCCCATGGTGTTGATGCACACAGAGGAAACAGGCCCACTATAGAATTTTCCAGACAGTGAACTTTTAGTGGCTCCACTGTCAACTAAAAAGGAATAAGTCTTTTCACCTATCTCTATATCTAACATGGGCAAGCTTTCTGTGTTACGGGACAATTGCAAATGCAGCATCGTGTGTAGTGCTTCACACTGTCCCTCATCATCACCTGGGCCTCCCTATTGTCGGTCCAGTCTTTCGTTATCATATGGGTGGGGATTAAAATGTGGATTATAAGGTTGCTGCCTAAGTGCAAAGGGGCCATTATTTTGATGTGATTCCTGTCTGCGTTGCCAGTTACCTTGTCTGTAAGAGCTCTGCTTACGCCTAGTGGCAGGAGCTGGTCCTGTGTTCTGTGGTTGAGCTGCTGATTTGCATTCCGTCCTCCAGTGTCCTATTTTTCCACAATAAAAACATACGTCTCCACTCCTATCTCTCCTTCTGAAATCTCCCTGCTGCGCTTGTTGAGGGGCGGGGCCCCTGCATACATCATTTTTTCACTTTCCTCTGAGCCTTCAACATCAAAGTTCAACATCATCTTAACAGTTTTAGCCTTCGTGCTGTTGGGGAAAAGATCTGCACCAGCTTTTGTTTTGACAAGTGTGATAAAGTTCTTTATTTTCATGTCATAGAGATTATCAGTGGCAGTCAGCTTCAATAGTTGTGAACATTCTGGATGAATATTGTTTAAGAATGTTGTTATGAAAATCTGATCATTTCCTCCTTCAGGCATGCATGCCTCATTAGTCCAGCAGTGTGTGAAACGTTTCATAAACACTAGAATGGATTCATCTGGCTTTTGCTTACACATGGTTACTGCATTTAAATCAATTTTATCTCTAGACATTGTGAGCAGAAATCTCTTTAGATTTTGAAAAAAGGCTGTGATTTTGTCATCGTTTATCCACAAAAACGAGGTGGTGTTGGCTGCTTGGTCGTTTTTAGGGTCTAGTTCCTCTACTTCTTCAATAAGCTGAGATTCAGTCACACCTGGGATTCGTTGACATAATATATATCTATAGTCAGGCCCACCCAAGTGGTGGTATCTGGTACTTCTCTGTAATGCAGAAACAAAGGCTGTAGGATTTTGTAGAGGATCGGGAAGTTCTTTAATGGTTGCTGCTAACTCTGAAATTTTAGGGGGTTGAATGCAACACATGTCCCCTATTATCATGAACGGGAGGGAGGTGCTGACGTCATTAAATTGTGATCCCTGCTTTTCTTTATAACGGGTGTTTTGTGGGGGCCCTCTTGAGTTTTTTCCTCTTTTTTCTGCTTTAAGTAGTTCCTTATTAAATTTCTGGTGTTAGTTATTGCTTTTGGCACAGTTAAACCATTCGCTACTCTAGTGTGGCGCTGAACATGATTATCTATGACAGAAACGGCTTCCTGCAGTTCGGCTTCCGTACGTTCAGTTAAAGGATCTTTCATGATTTCCTCACACTCTGTCATTAACTGTTTTGTTTGCTTTTTATGTTCCTGTAACTCTCTTTCTCGTTCAGTGTATTCTCGTTCCTGTCTTTGATCTAGGTTAAACCAGTCATCTTCTTCTGATTTAGGTGTCATTTCAGTGCCTTCCTCACTCTTTTGGGATTCTGCTGTTAAATCAGGATATACGCGCTGATGACGTGCAGCCGCCGCAGCAGCTATTAATTCTGTTTTTTCATCATAAGGCGGCGGAGCCGTAGGTTGAACGGATGGGCATATAAGGCTAGTTTTTTCTGCAGTGGATTTACTAGAGCCTACACTGGCTTGATTTAAAGCATTTACGTCTGGCTCGGGTCCTTTTTTCCATAGTGGTAGCATGCGATTGGTCACATCACGACATTCTATCATATATTTTTTACAGGACTTTTTAATCAGCCTACTTTTCTTATCACAAATAGTATTTAACATTTCTACTGACCTGTTTTCTGGCGATAATCGTTCGGGATAGGGCTCCGGAAATACATTAGGATGCATTAAAGTTATAGTTCTTAAGTTCGAGACGAAATCAGTCACGTAAGCACTTCCGCATGTTCTGGATACGTAATCATGGAAGTCTTCATTGATTCGCGAGCGTGGGTTAAACGTAACCGGAAGTGGGAGTCGTACTGAGCCGCTATTTGTGATTTTATATTTTATTTTTTTCGGTTTTACAGTTAATTTTGAGTTTTTATCGGACCCGTCTAAGGTCTTTGAATTATTCTGACCCATGGTCAGTGATTTCCAGAGGGGTTTAGACGCTTTGAAGGATTTAAGTTAGTATCTATTTTTGCTGTGGCACACCTGAGGTTACTTGATTTTTTGCTAGCAATTTTATGTTTTTAGTGAGCAACTTCTCACTTTTTAACGAGCAACTTCTCGTTTTATGACCCCAGGCAACTTCCTGTGTCCTTTCTGCTGGTGAGCAACTTCTTAGTTTATGACAGCAGGCAACTTCCTGTGTCCTTTCTGCTTTTATTTTACAAAACAACAGGCAACTTCCTGTGTTTCTATGTGGGCCACTAAATAAGGCTCCTCAGTGTATCCCACTTGTTACTATGTGGGCCACTGAAGAAGGCCTCGTCAGCGTATCCCGTTTCTATGTGGATCACTGAGAAAGGCATAACACAGTCTTATTAAAATAAAAAGACAAGTGCCTACCTTCGTCAGGATCCCACTTCTGACACCAAAATTGAAGGAAACTGTTTTCAGGGCCTACTCCGTGGATCGGCTTCCTCCGAGGCGTGGACGTCTATCTATGTGGATCACTGAGAAAGGCATAACACAGTCTTATTAAAATAAAAAGACAAGTGCCTACCTTCGTCAGGATCCCACTTCTGACACCAAAATTGAAGGAAACTGTTTCCAGGGCCTACTCCGTGGATCGGCTTCCTCCGAGGCGTGGACGTCTATCAGCAGAGAATGTACCTTCACCTATCAGCAGAGAATGTCCCTTAGTCTGTAACACAGTCAAATATATTCTCAAGTAATATTCAAGCATGCCATTCAGCGTGTTAGTACGAGCTCGGGAGCAGCTTGGGAGAACAAGAAAACAGAGACTGCTTTAGATTGTCTTCCCAAAGTGACTCAACTTTATTCACAAGTACAACAGTTTATATAGAGGGTAAAATTCATGAGACAGCAGATTATCAGTTTAAACCAGTACAGACCAAGATAAGGCAGCGTCTTCCTGCCCTTGGGTGAAGAAGCATCCTTTGTGTAGTTTATTAGTTCAGCTACAATTGTGATTATCTCAGCGACATATTTTCAAGGCACAAAACGAAGAGTTCTTACATTAGTGAAATCTGAAACAAACCATTTGGCCTTCAACAGGCGTCTAAAAGATTAAGAAACTAATGTAGCTGAGGGAGTGATCTCTGTGGTATTTCAACCTTGTACCAGCCTGTGATTCTCACACATCAATTCTTGGGTCAAAGAGAAAAACACTGAAACAAAGGGGCCTTATTGAATGACAGAGTTTTCCTGCATAATGTCACTATAAAACAATATCCAGTAAATGCTACCATGGTACTAAAATACCTAACAATCAGAATCAGAATACTTTATTAATCCCGAAGGAAATTACGGTTACAGCAGGCAGCACGCTAATGGCGCATGCACACTTACAAAGGAACCTTCTGACCAACTTTACACAAACATCACATTGGGGAGACATGTCAGAGAGGTAGGCTGATAGGAAAAAAACAACGAAAATACATAACATGAGGTAAGAGGGGGAGAAAAAAAACTCCACTCAGACTGAGCTCCTAGTGGGAGAACAGTTTGATAACAGAAAAAACACCTCAGCACAAAAAGCACATGACTATCAATACACCATAGAAACACAAGACAAGCAACAGGGGCGGGTAAAGGGTAAGAGAGAGCCGGTGTAGACAGCACATCCGGTCCTGCAGCATGTCTGCGCTGGTCCAGTCGACTGCCATCTTCCCCGGTAGGGCACAAGCATCAAAGGCTTTGGAAAGGGAGGGGGGATCAGTGTGTGCATATCAGTGTATGTGTGTGTGTGTGTCCAGAGTTCAGCTGAGAAAGTGTCCTTCGCCCAGTCGCCCAGTAAACAGTCTTCCAGCCAACGCAGGTGGCCTTGCATGGAATGGGGGGAACAGTCTAAACACAGTCGTTATCAGGGTGTTTTGTTCAGCTCCAGCTTTGAGGCCGCAGCTGGCGCCGAAAGGGTCTCCGCATGAAGTGATGACGGTTTTTACTTTAGTGCGAACAACTCATATGAATTTCAAAGCTGTTCTAACAGTCCAACACTGGTCTCTGAATCTCCCGTTGGAGAGCCGTGAGCTTTCTATGATGTTATCCAAACTTACGTTCCGTGATGTTGTCGTTCTTTTTGCTCAAAGAGCAGGTTCTGAGAACTCACGACCGCAGTGCACTTCCCCAAGATGTGATCAAATTTGCGCTCAAAGGTGTTATTCGAGCTAGCCCCTCCAGATGTAATCCAGTTTTTCACTCAGAGGTCTTGTTCTGAGTATTCACGGCAGCCGTGCGTTCTCCAAGATCTTCTCCGTGCTGCACTCAATGAGCCCATTTTGAGAAACTCACGCCTCGTCCCACCATTTCAATCCCAGCGGGCAGCCTTGTGGGGGTTTAAACAGCCGGTTCCGCTTCCTTAATTCTTCGATAAGTCAGGGCCAAGC